CAAGATTCGAAGGGCATCTACGCTTTTTGACATATATTTAACTCGTTGAGTACCGTCATTATAGACACAATTAACTCGTCGAGTACCGGTTTTATAGACACAATTAAAGAACAATAGGTCGCGGTCACCGGTGACCGCTTGGTGTTTGACAGTTTAAAGAACAATAGGTTGCGGCCACCGATGACCGCTCGGTGTTTGACAGTTTAAAAGACAAACATACATATAAATTCTTTAGTTCTTTACCCAACCATACGATAAGGAAACACAAATCATGAGACCAGGTAATTTCAAAATCTCCTTACACTGCAATCAAAGAACCATAAGCCCTACTTTCCGACATTATGACCTCACCGGTTCCCACCTAGCAGACTCTGATAGCCATGTGCATTACGTCCAAGGCCAGGCAACACATGTGACACACATACTCTGTGCAACTGTACATGGCAATGGCAAGTAAACAACATTTTGTGGTACATGCCACCACCGTTTGTGATTGATGACCATTTATGATAGCCACGAATTGCACTAACAGATCAGCCACTAAGATTGTGTAAGAACTGCAGGAATCAAGTGATGAGTAACTGCATTGCGTCACTAGAAAGCCTAATTTGCTCAAGCGCATGTCTTACCAAAATGGCAGCTAAGTTTGTTTTGAGGTTTCGTACAAGTTTAATTTTTACATAAAAATTTTCAGATTGATTTGCTCTGAGCTAATGGACGTAAAGGCCTTTTAGCTAGAACTTAAACTTAACGCATGAAGTCATAATATTCCAAAGCATCATCTAAGAATGATAACAATAACATATTATTCACATGAGCAGTTAGACTTGACCCGGGACTTATTAAGAAAACAGGTTAGGTATTATGACTCGCATACATTAAGAATTACGAATAGAGCAATAAAATTACAATTTTACATAAGAGCCGGCTTAATTGCAATGTTTAATTGTCATTTGCAAGGTAAGGAGTAGTTTATGTTAATAAACTAATATCAAGTAGGTACCTATTAATAATATGCGACAAATAGTCACCTATGTCACCTTTAATTTCTATTGACAATCGTATGCAAAAATCCCAGAGTTGCAGCCGTCTAACCTCTGAAGAACCTTCCACGTCTCGCTAAATTAGTAGACCGTAAAATTTGCATAATTATGTAATTTATTATCCAATAGGAAAACGAAAGAAAAAATGCCGTTCGGTCACATTGGAGGTATTATGGTGGAAAACAAGTACATAGAGTAATAGATAGACTCGAATCGTTAGCAAATTCATGAGAAATCTGAATTTCGGAAGCATCTAGGTGCTTTCTTATTTTAAATACATTCAAAATACCGTTGTATTTGCTGTTTATCCCAATTCATCATGACACGTACTTAAAGATACCTCGACAGCCACGATGATGATGCAAAAGCAATAAACGAACACAACAGAAGCGTAATCAAACAGTTCCCCATACTAGGACAATCAACTATCTCCGAAAAGTGAATCACAGGTGAACGGGTGACGTCATCGACCACATATCATGGAGGACAACGGTATCAGCATCGATACGATACATTTATTTGTTAACCGCTTAGTCACCGTTACCAGAAACATGTTCACTTGCTCAGGTAGCCACCACATTCATTTAGGAATGAGGAAAATTTGGGAAGGTCATCTGTCTGACCCCCATTTTGGAGTACAAAACAAACCAAAACTGATTTGACTTGCGATTTGTTTTGGTTTTGAAAAACGGATTTACAAACAAAATAAAACAGATGATGGAACATTCAAGTTCAGGACTTCTCTCTTCCTCGATATCGATTTGAGACATAATTTTTTCTGCAAAATGAAGTAAACTAAGTCTATTTATCATAGGAATACGATTAGATTTGTAGTTAAAAATTATAAGCTTTAATCACTCCGGATATCTATTTATAAGGTGTGTAGTTCTAGTCTAGTAAATTCACTGGTCTCCAGGCAATCCATTAAAAGAATTGATCATAAAATTACGGGAGTCTAGGGATGGACACACAATAAACACATACACACGAAGCTTAGCAGGGAATGGATGCGTGCAATTTGCGTAGACTATTACAGTAGACTAGACCATAAGTATTCTACAGGAACGATGAAGGAGCAGCCGAAATAAACAAAATATTTCCCTCATGATGGATTGCACCAGGTGTCTATCATTCTACAAGTAATCAGCTCATTGGGTAATGCGCGATATTATTGAGCTATGCAGGCGATGCGATGTACAACTCGTTTCTACTACATTTGCGTAACATACCCTCACATAGTGAATACAATGTATTATTTTACTACAACCAACTAAGTACTTACATTTGTTCATATTAATATTTAATTTGTACGTATTATGATATGATCAATGTTTTAAAGAAGTTCGATTACGACGCAATAGACAATAATCTTCTTAATTTTTATTCTAGGAAAGACACAAAGTTCTGTATAGTAAAATGTTCTAATATTTTATAAGTAGTTTGTAGTAGGTACCACCACATTGATATCTGAATTAATTTATTTACGAATTACCTTCAAAGCTAATAGATATAAATAGATTAATACAGATAAACAAACACAGTTCAATGACCTCAATGACAAAATACTGGATTGGTATGATGTTGTTTACTTATTAATTGTTTTTAATCAGTTGTTTATTGGTCATTAGGTCAAAATTTACTGACTTGCAAGGATTTTTAGTGCAATGTAATTTAAATAGAATTATGACTATTATACATTATAGGTTTCAAAATGATGCAATATGTAAAACCAATACTGAAAACATAAGTACAATGCAAACTGTGATTGTGCAAAAGCAAATAATAATGCAAACTTTGGCACTCTTTTGGAAAAACATATTTGGGCAAATAAATTATAATTATAAATACTACCATTTAGTGAAACTAACATCGTCATCATAGTAATATGTCTTAAAAATCTAGAATGATTTTCCAATTAGACTATTACCCAACAGATTTTTTAAACTGTACTACTAACTTATATATGTATATAACTTACTAAACTTATTCAACGAAATTGACCATTATTTTTAAGAGGAGAAATCATTGAATGTCTTCTCCCGGTGTAGATGAGGTGATAGGATATCAGACTGTTACTGACTAAAAACTACTCCATTCATACTCCTGGTTCGAGCCTAGCCATGGTAATAGAAGAATAAAAAAGGTAATGGAATACTGAAAACTGAAAATATTAATTAAGGTTTAACATAGCATATACAACTTCAGTACCTCTGTTTCGTTATACAAATTCAATTAGATGTAAGTAACAATATTTATAATAATAACACTGTTGCTAATTGCTGAATAACAATGTTGGTGCAGTTAATCTTCTTGTTACATGTTACTTCACTTTGTTTTCCTTCCTCAAAGACCGATTAAACATTTGGAAACCCAGTTTTAGATATTTAGCTAATTTAAGTCCTATAAGACTTGGATGTAAGGTGCAAAATTATTACAGTTCATATTTGTACTCAGTGCACTTATGCAAATAAGAGTTAGGTAATGGAATTATGTATTTGGTAAAGTTATGATGCACATAATGTATAAAGATTAAAACTGAAGTAATAAGGTTACGGTAGTAACTAATTGTATTTTTTATAAATAGTTGTCATTCTGTCTCAACCCACACAATTAATGTGCAAAACTTGTTTTATTTTATTTTTAATTAATAAAAATTAGTGATGTTTGGATGGGTAGCAATGTTGACATTAAAAAGGTAAAAAACAATACAGTATTACCATAACTTGATAAAATTTGCATTTCCCACATTGATAAGTATGCTTAATATTAAATATTAAACTACCTACTAGTTTAATATTTAGCTATAATATCCTGTTTTGTTAGTTCAGTATGGACTTCTCTGTTAAACAGGTAAAGTTCCTTACAAATAGCCACAGAATATTTTGTAGTACCAGATACAGAAAGATTATTCTAGCAAAATTAAACTTGTTCAACAAATACATTTACAATTTATACCAAATTCAAATGAACAATAATATCCTAATCCGACCTAGATAGAATTAATTATTTATATTTTTTATTATAGAAATCAAAACAAAGATGGCCTTGCTTGTCTGTGCAGAGAACATATATTCTGGATATTCAGGCATGTTCGCTTTGTATTCAAAGACGCAGCATCTTAAAATTATTTATGAGAATAACATGTGGTTGTGGCATGAATCAATGTAAATGATGCAACTCATCATTTTTAAATTCTATTTCAATTAAAGTTGTGCATGTACACATGATTTGTCAGCTTATTTTGCCGATACTTCTATTTTAGGAAATCTACCAAAACCGGAGTCTTATAAGAATAATGGTCAAGTAAGAATGACTTGCAAAATATCACCAAATCAACAATCACATTTCTATGTATTGCATCATACAATCAGAAGTATAACCATATTGGATGTATCTTATCTGTAATATGCTTAAAATAACTAGTACCCAGTGATAATCATTATCAAACTATTCATTAAGCTTGGACATTGATCGTAAAATGGCAAGATTCTGTTTTTGTTTACCACTTTTTGATAAGACACAGTGAGTGTTTGCAAAAATATTGTTTGTGGTATTTTCCTACAAACAATCTCTGGTGACTAATATGATTCTGTACATTTAGTGAGAAAAGAAATGTTATGCGGTGATGCAGACACAAATCTAACAAGCAACTGGCATGCATGACTGGCTGTAAAAATAGATTTGTATTTTTATGATATTATATTATTAGCAATACTATTCGTGTACAAGTGGCCAGGTGTAACTCAGTGTTTCATCATTTTAAGTCTAGGAACACAATTTACATAAGCCACATGTGTCAACAAAGATTATGAACACTACATTTTTTTTAAACAAAAATACAACAGGTGGGTTGAACATAAACAATATGATTTGTTTACAAACAAAAGCTAGTGAGTGCACACAAGTAGATGAGCAGGGTGCCGGCGTGAAGCTGCGGGCAGTGCCGCGTGCACTTACCTCTTGGGTAGCAGCATGGCGGCGGAGCCCTTCCGCTGGAACACGCCGTCAACCAACACTCCATTCTTGCTGTTACACGTCAGGTAGAACTCAGGGTGGTCGTAGATTAGTTCGAGATGTTTACGAGATATGAAACTCGAATGTCCCATGTTAACGTCCACTTGGCCTCTACTAGAGTTCCGGCCGATCACGACACGCTTCTGGCGAATGAGGTACTCGAAGTCGCGGCCGTCGAGCCTCGCGATCGCGATGGGGGCCGGTTCCTGGGCCCACTGCACCTTGGAGGGTGACGGGGGCGCAGACTTCAGAGAGAGCAGCGCCCACGCGTCGCTCTCCGAGCTTCGCGTAAACTGAGTCTGGGCCATGGCAGGCGCGCGCGTACAGATATCACCAACGCTGTCCACACGCGGGGCGCGAACGCCTTGCACGAGGGCACATCACAATACCGCCGCGAGAACCGCCGCCGCCGCGTCGCGACCCGGATATCCGGAACCTGCCGAACCCGTGCCTTTACAATTTGAGGTTACTGACGGGACGCACATGCGCAAAGTTTCTACTTGTGCGGTAAACAAGAATTATATAAACCACCACACCACCACGTGATAATAATGTATACATATACCTAGTCCGGAAGAGCGGATCGATACTATAAAGTACGGATATGTCTTATATGAACGAAATATTAACCTTTTGGTTGTTGCACAACTGAATTTTCGCAATTGGACCGAAATTAGACACTAAAGTAAACACGAGGCGAGAACAAAAATAACCAAAAACGTCAGTTCGGCATACGCAGTTTACAAGTTCGCCGCGCCATCTATGCAATACAGCAACAAATTGTAAATATTTAATTCCGTTTCACGCATTGGTTACCGGCGTAAAATATTATTCAAACATAGTAAAACTCTTTTGATTCTTTCTTTTAATTGTTGACTTATTTTGATTTGTTTAATATATCTTATTTAATTGAAATGCTAATTAATTTGTTACGTTGCAAGATAATCCCTTGTCTATTGTATAATATTTTATGACGGTTTAACTGAAATCAAGGATTCGAACTTGAGTGAAACGAAATTATATCAATAGTGATACGCACTTTTATCGAATGTATTAGAATCGATTCAAATAAGATACACATGCAAGAAATTGATTTATTTACAATTTCGTAATTATACTCATTATAACAACATGGCTAACTGCATGCTTACTGCGGATTAAAAGAAGTATCATTAGTAAGAAGCATAAAGCGCATCTAAAACTGAAATTTTAAGTAGGTACTTTAACGTAGCAACTAATGAAACAAGAATACAAACTTTTCCAGCAAAATATCATTTCGATTATTATTTTACTATCTATTTTAGTATTTTTATGAAATGCTTCTAGAATTGCTATAAGTTCTTCTTTTTATTTTTCTAATATGGATGGTATCTTGTTATTATTTTATTTTTCTAATTAGACCCAAAGGCATAAAATCCTCTAGAAGATCTATAAATACCAAAAAATTAATAAGTATTATAAATAATGTAAAATAAAGGATTAAAGTGTTCCACATCTTGATCCTTAATGCTTCGTACTCGTCCATTGATCGAATATTGTTTAGTGCGCGCCATTTATGGTAATTGTCTATTACTTAAAGCCCATCACTACATAGGAAAATACGCTGACGTCATCGACATAATTAGTCTATGGACTTTGTTGACATTATTTTTATTTGAGTTTTGTAGCAAAGCAAATTGTGTAGTGTTTTTAAAACTCTGCGATGTAAACGATAACATACAATTATTAAATTATAGTGTACGTTAATCGCTCTCTTCAATTCCTTCATCAGTTGTGTAAAGAAAGGTGAGTTAAATCAACATTACCGCGAAATTTAAATTGATATTTTAGGGAAATATTTTCCCTACCACAATTGTAATTGTTCTCGTGAACATTTCTTTATTACTTAAGAAGTCTTTGTTACCTTTACCTATTAGTAGTTTTCACTTAATTGCAATTGAGGAAAAGTATTAATTTATAATTAGCATACTTGCCATGAAGACGTAATAATATTCATAATATTCTTATGAGAAAAACCACGTCGTGCTCACATTTTTGGCAATAGATTGATCATAATAAATTGCTATTGAGATACTACATGAATGAAATAATTTTACCAACCTCTACTGACATATATTACTTGGATTAGAGCCAAAGTAGGTAATAGAATAATGTTTATGTCTAACTATTAAATTCATATTATATTATTGTTGCTTGACGAACACAGCATTCAATATATTATATTATAAGTTGATCTGATTCTCATAAAACATCCAACAAGTGGTTAGAGGTTACATACCTTAGAGGTTTCTCTCAATCAAGTTCATTAGATTTCATTTCTAATAAATATGCATTCAACTCTTCGAAGTGACTTGATCACCTTAAATTGTTATAGAAAATTATATAAACCCCTTAAAATAGGCCACCAGGTCCAGCTGCAAGTCAGTGATGTCTTCGTCTTTAAGTTACATTAACATCGAAACTGGGTAATGTTTTATAAAACAGTGGCTTATTGAGATGAGTGATTGGGGAAATAGTGCAGACAAGTTTATTATTGTTCAACTATGATGTAATAAGTTGTCAATGTAAACTTGTGTTGTGTGTGACTTTCGTCTTCATACATCTTTAATCTTGATCATATTTTTCCATGGGGGCCACTGGTACTGGCACTAGTAGTAAACACATTACTTGATTTCAAAATCAGCATAGTTTATATAAGCATTGCTAAAAATTTGTCAGCTATCTCGTGATAGAAGACAGTGTGATGATTCTCTTTTATTTATTCTTCATTCAGTATACAATTCATTGTACTCAAATTACTATTACAATGTATACTTATTTTTTAGTATGTGCATTAAATTATAAAATAAATAAATGATTAGAGGGATAAATGGATACAGAAGAGGGGTAAGTAAATGTTGGGAAAATGCCGTAACATTTATTAACCCTGTTCCTGTATTATTCCTACTGTTTTACGGGCCATGGTGTTAGTTGTGCTTGCTGAGTTAAGCTCCAGATAGTATAAGAGCAATCATAAAATTCTGATTGCGTATAATGTATTACAGTAAGTTCTTCACCTATCCTCCTATTAGGTAGTCATGAATATAATAAAACTTAAACAAATCATTTATGCTTTAGTGAATGCGACTTGTCCAATATTTTGCATCTTTGTGTGATTTGTTTCCTGAATATGTCCCATGTCTATATCAAAATAATAATTAAAACAAAGATTTCTATTAAAATTCTTTATTTGGCAAATAATTGATATTATGACTAGGTACATTATCACAGTGATAAAATTAATTATTAATTACATATTACAAATAAATAATAAAATCAAATTATATAATTAACTGATCACATCTGTATGTCCACTCATCCATGCCCCAGTTGATTAATATGCTATTTTCATTACATAAAGAGTCCAACAACACCCAAATACTCTGGCTCGGTCACTAATGGAGAATCACAACAAAGCCCAAAATACCTCAAGACCTAATCTAATCACAGTAATTATAACTACTGTTTAAATAATGAGGATGTGGCACAGACCAACCGACATACTTCTGAATGTTCCACGAAGGAGACAGCTTGTAGTAAATTAATAAATAAAAGAAAATGTTTCATTACATTGCTATGCGAAAGTAGATTTCCAAAATTCATACCTACTTAGACCTGCCTCTAGATCTACTTAGATCTTCTCGCCAACTATATGATACATCTTGCCAAGTGACTGTAGAGTAATATTAATAATAAAATCGAGAAACATTAGAAGTAGCAGTAGTAGAAAAGTAAAAAACGATATTTCAAAAAGAACTGATTTGACGATTTTCAATTTCGACGCGAATTTTCAGATTTTAGACATAACTGATTAGTTTGCATGGGTTGTATAACGTTATCTCCTATCTATCGAGTTTAGTCGTCGAGTTGCGTCAAACTCGCGACTCCTCTATTGATCCAATGCTGTTCCTTCTTGTCAGTCTCCAAAGTGATGTACATGACGAAGTTGCTGGAATGTCCTGTCGTCGCCAGTACACCCTTTCTCTCACTTGTCTTGTAAATAGGACAGAAGTAACAGGGGGGAGGCTGGAAGTCAGCTATCAAAGCCGGTTTGAACCAGATTGTAGGGATAGTATCAAACAAGATTTTGGGATAGGATTCATCCATTTGCATCGTTATACGATTCCATCTTGCGCCTTCGAGGAATAGGCCCTGCGCGGAAGAAATAGTTTTAATATTAAAATTTGTTCATTTGAGAACTGTGTCAGTCCACAATACTTTATAGAGTCTGTAGTTTGCTCACAAAACTAAGCTTTGTGCCATCTTCGGTATTACATATTGCGGGATTATAAACGCTTTCAATTTTGATTGATGCTAAAATATTAAACCGTGCAAATTTGTGTAAATCCGTGCGTGTCATACATGCAATGATAGCTGTGTGCCAGCAACTTGGCACGATACATTCCCATGCATGATGCGAGCGACTCACCCATATGAACACACTGTGTTCCTCGTCTCCTTTATCCATTTGGAAAGATTGCTGCATGCGATTTAAAGACAACACATAAATATAGACCTAAATACAATAATGATTAATTTTATTTGTGGTATAAATAAAATTAATCATTATTGTATTTAGTCCCATTGAGTCCATTGACCCTAACAGACATTTAAGCATTATTGATTTATCATTAACGCTCAGTGTATCGCTGAAATAGGTATGTGGTTGTAGACTTATTGTTACCTTGCAATAGACCCCGTATTCGGGTTCCTCTGTAGTGTCCGACTCCATGCTGGTAATGGTGAACTCAAAGTGGACCTGGTCAATGGGGATCTTGTTGTGTCGCGAGTAGTTCTGCAGCACGCCCGTCAGGAACGACTGCGTGAAGTAGAAACCGGAGATCCAGAACACCACTGGAGGACCCTCGTCTATCCAGTCTTGTAGAAAGCTTAGCCTGGCAACATTATAGATTAACAATCAAATATATTATAGGCCTTGTAGTTTATTTTTTTACCTGTAGAATATTAATCTAGTTTTATTGTGGTGGTTGGTACCTATCTAATTCTAACATTTTAATAAATGTCTTTCCAGACTCCCAACATGACGGATAAGGTGTTGGACGAGAAAACCTGGCCGCAGGAGGCCGAGGCAGCCATCAATGACATCCGCAAGCACGTGAAGGTTGCTTCCATATCCTCGCAACTGCACAACAACAACCAGCGCATCTACATCAACCTCACCACGCTGGAGAGCACAGACTACTGCGTCGAGATGTCAGGCAACGGCTTCAGGGTCGTCGGCAGAAAGTATGATGACACCACTCTGTCCAGCATAGAGAACATGAACTACGAGACTCCGTACGCTCTGCTGAACAACATCAGCCAGAAGTATAGGGAGTCCTTCGGCGGCGAGCTCATGAACAAGCTGCTGGACCTGGCTGCCCGCAACTCTGAAGGCTGAACCCGTGGCGGTACGCTGTAGTCCTGTGTTCAACGTAGGCCTATCCACGCCCTCATGAAAAAGTTGTTTGCTTGAGCAAATGCATTTGGTTATACTTGATCTATAATTGTTTGTACGCATAAATATTGTGTGTAATGTTGTATTTAAAAATAAGTTTATTCAAATATTGAATGTTCACATAAATATCAAAAGTATTATAAGTAAGGGAACTTGAACAAACCAGGGTTTAACAAGTCGATTTGGTAATTATATTGTGAACTTTATCGATTTTTGATTGTTGAAATTTTACTGTGGAAATGTGTCAAAATATCACCTGTCAGTATTCACGTGTGCTATAATAAATGTTTATGTAATAACTAAGTTTATATAACTGTGTAGAACTTTAGTATTACCAAGGTGTTTAGTGTTGAATGCAATCTCTGTTAGCATTACACTGTTAGGGAATATGTCTTTCTTGGTATAAAATTGATTATTACGTGCGTTGTAAAGCGCTGGGTTACTTTGTTGGTGCAAGTACCTAATATTGGATTATTGTAAACAGTTGTTATACAAACTTCCCCTTGGTTATTAAGTTGTGCAGACCAGATCGCGTTCTTGCGCTAGATTAGTTTTAGAACATGAGCTCTCACTCAGTGTGGTACTGTCAAGCGCACTTAGACGAGGGCAATGCGACACGACCGAGCACGGTAGCTTACAAATTGCGCGCTTCCTGCGTGACCTACTGTCGGCTGACTTCTTAAGTACCACAGGAAAGATTCGATTCATTCATTACGTAACCACGGGGCGCCACTATAATATGAAAACGAGCCCAAACAATAACACTAGTCGATGTTTCTCAAACAATAGATTTATCAACAAGGCCAGTATAGTTATAAAACATGAGCAATATGAACATACTTATCATAGTTTGTGAGTAATGTGAGAATCGAGTTTTTCGAATCCGTGTGGTATAAAGCAGCTATTGTGTACTGGGTACCTACCGCGGCGTAGCGGATCGCTTGCAGTCTTGTGTGCTTTACTTGGCATTTTATTATTAGTACAATCGTCGACGGACTGAGTACAAAAATATTGTGTATCTCTTAGTTTGGGTGCGTGATACCAGTAGCGTACTATTTTATTGGCATTTGTTATTTTATGGCCTATAGACGTTATATTTTCATGGTAATAAACTATTTCGTCTGTCTATAGACAGTACCTATATTTGCATATTGTAAACTTTGAATAGATATCTATCTGGTTATTATTTGTGTTCGCGGCCTAACTTTTATAGCTTTTTTACACAAATGTGTAATGTTCTCGTGGTAGCTACCGCCGCATGCACCCAAACTAGCATCTCTTTAGACGTAATATACACAATTAGCGTAGTGAACTTGTTTGTGATAGTAAAATAAATTCATATATGGATATTGTTCGTTTTATTACAACAATTGTTTATGTAAAGAAACGAAGTGGACATAAATGTGGGATCATTTAGGAAAAAGCAGCGTATGATGTCGGTTTGGGGAGAACGTAGGTATGACAAAAGACATTAAGTTAGTGTCAACAACTTGAGATCAGAAAATACAGGTACAAAGATTAATCACAACTTAATTCGACTATTGGACCGCAGAATCTGCTGAAACTGGATCGCCATACGAACTCCATTGTGTTTGGTTGGTGAGGACGAGTTGTTCAAGGCATTAAAAAGTCCTAACTAATAAACCTTTATATAAATGTGAATATCATAAAAATGCGGTATCTATGGAGATGAATAGATGTTTATTAGTCTACATCCACCTACACATGTTGAGGATTCGCACCACGTGGTGGCGCAACAATCATCGTTCGCATTCCCTTCCAAGCTACAAGCCGGCTCGAGTAATAATATAGGGACGCGAATTTTAGTTCACGGTTTGCAACTAGATGGCGTTGTACAATTGGACCGGTTTTCTGAATCGCGGTGTTAAGATTCTCCGGCGTTGAATGACCCTCGCGGCGCGCTCGTCACAATTCATACTTACCTGGCGTAGGGGATACCGTGATCATGAAGGCGGTTCCCCCAGGGCGAGGTCCTCTCATTGCACTGCGATAGGGTTGACCCCTGCGATTATCCCTAATGTGGATAACTCGGACGCGTAATTTTTGGTAGTGAGGGACTGCGTACGCGCTGTCCCTCTAAGAAATTCTGAAAACTGTACACTATCATTTACATTTAAAACATAACTTATACGATCGCATCATTTTTGCATAATAGAATTACCTATTAGTCTTATTCATATTATTTTCTATTAACGTACACCAAATGTAATTGAGACATCCGAATCCTTTAAAATGTAATTATCAAATTAGTGTCATTTGAAGACAAAAATAAATGCAATTTGGTAGTAAAAGTAAAGATCAGTGTTGATATAATTAAGACATGGGTGGACATTTGTAAATGTAAACATTTAAATGACATTATTCGTTAGTTAAATAATAAATAAGTAAGTTACCATTTTAAAAGTATTAGCAATCGTGCTGGCCTGTATTGTTAACTTCATAAACAAAAATGTTTTGTTCTGTAAAAATAGAACGATCCTACCTTACTACCTAGCTACTTTGTATTCGAGGTACGAGGTACTAGGTAATGTAAGTATTACTGGACTGTACAATTTTAGTTTTAACTATGTAGTTCTAAGTTAAGTTTAGAGATTTGTCCAGCAGTGGAAGTCTTTCGGCTGTTGATGAAGATGATGTAGTTTAATAATGGCCACAAGCCACACTGTATGATATCATAATAGTCTATTTTTAACGAAAATACATTTGAATAAACTTACCGAGACAGTAAATCAGACACGTAAGACCCCAGTGGCTTCATAGATGGATAGGACTTTGACATCCAGGCTCCAGGCACTTTGCCTTTGATGAAGGCGTCGTTGCACTCCTCCAGCTCCGGGCTCATGATGGCCAGACCCTGGGATGCCATGTGGACACCATGCAGGGTGCGTTTTACTACAGACAGGAGACGGTTGTAGCGAATCAGCTCCTGGTAGAAAACGTATATATATGTCGTATGTATATTTATATGCATGTAGTAAAAAGCGGTTAGGTATTTCAATATCACAAATAGACTCCAGTTTTATCTGTCTGTCCGGTAAGTGTGGAGTGCAGTACCTGTTTGAGCACGGTGTTCATGCTGTTGTAGTAGAGCACGGGGTACTTGTCGGCGACGGCCTGCACGTCGTAGAGCGCGGGCAGGCGCTCCATCATGTCGCGCGTCAGCTCCACCACGCCGCCCCCCTCGCCGCCCTCCGCGCCGCCCCCCATCACTATGTGCGTCTGCGTCAGTAGCGTGCCGAATAGCAACTGGGGACACAAATCACAATCCATGCAATCCTCACCTATCCCTTCTAGAGAAAAACGTGAATTTTTAGTACCTATACTTTTTTTTCAATACATTTAAGTTTGTTTGAAACCACAACTTAAAATAGGTAACACACGGGCGAAAAAGATCGTCAAACTACCATGAAGTGTACTTACTCGCCCGTCTACCACATTACAAGTATTCTGCTCATTACTTAATAAAAAAAAAATTGTAATATACAAAGTCACATCCATCTTCATTTTCGATCTTAGTAGTCCTTATGAAAATCTAAATTACATATTATGAATTTACAGTTGACTGAATACCAGATTAAATTAAGTATACATGGTGGAATTTTGTATTGCCACATTAAGGGGAAGTACTCTTAATATTTAAGATAGAAAATTTTACTCAAAGAAAACGTTCCTTTATTTTAGAAAAGAAACAAAACTTTAGCTTGCCTCACGGTAATCGAACCGTATAAAATCTGTGAAACTTACACCCTGTACATTTATTGCAATAAGTATTAAGAGTACTTCCCCTTAAGGTGGCATTACAAAATTGCACCGAGTATGTACCGCGGCAGTCTCCTTGTTGTCCTTGGTGATGTCCGCGTTCTCGTGCAGGCCGAAGACCTCCGGGTTGGTGATCATGGGCAGCGCGCGGATGTGCTCCAGCACTGAGTTGTAGTCCATGCTCGGGGGCATGCGGTAGTCGCCGCTCGGGGAGAACGAGTAACTGACCACAAACACATTTTTAACGTACAAATTCGCTTACTCATCACACTTAGACCAGGGCAAAGTTTACCGTAAGTATAGCAATTTGACATTAAAAAGAATATATAAAACTAGTGGCTGTCTGCCGTGGACTTTCCGTGGGTCAAAAAGTGGCAACGTCTTATTCCACACCATATAATCTACCCCTATTCCAAATTTCATTCCGATCCCTTAAGTCATGTTAACGTGATTAAGTAATATACATATATATGCCGCGGAAAACCTTACGGGTTACCGGGGCTCCGGTTCGAAGTGCAGGAGTAGGAACGGGGCGGTTTTTAGTCAGTAAGAGTCTGACACTCCCTCCTGCCTCACTCAGGCGGGAGCAGTCATTCGATGATTTTCCCCCCTTAAAAAAATATATTATTTCGATAATGATTAAGAACTTCTCACTCAGGTACGGTAGTGACTTGATCGTTGTAGAAGATAGAGAGCAGCGACATGATGAGCCGTCGGTCCTTGTCGTCGGTGACGCGGCCGCCATAGTTGCACTCCCCGGCCAAATAGTTCAGCGCGTCGAACGGAGTCTCCGCGTAGTCCGTCAGGAACATCTAATAGCCACACGGAACTTAGACAATCCCAAATCATATAGCAACCATCGGAAAAAATAACATTAACGATTATTCCCCAAATGATCAAGGATATGGTCATCTGACTTATGTATTTTTATGTAATAACTATTATGATACATCTACCTATGTATCTAGTTGTGTAAAATAGTGTATCTAATTGAGAAAGGCTCTACTAGTTTCAATTCACGACGGGACTTTTATTCACGACCAGAGTCAGCGCGACATCGAGAGATCAAACATAAAACTTAAGAGTTTCACAGTTGGGTTAAGAAAAACATCTAAAAATCAGTAAAACATAGCTAAATAAATCAGTAAATAACTATACACGTACCTGCAGCTGCATAACACAGATCCTGAGGTCACTCTCATTGAACTCGTACTGTATGTTCCACCCGAGAGGTCCGAAGGCCCTCCTCTCCTGCACAATGGCATGGAAGAAACACAACGCGTACAGCAGTCGGCGCCAGTCCTCCGTGCGAGGACATGAGATGTAGAATTCAGGGTCGCAGATAGGGTCCGATATGTACGAGCGGTATATGTTGTTTTTCAAACCCTTCGGAGCTTCGTTTGTCATTTTAACACCTAGGATATAAAGTCAGATGTAGTTATACATTACCACAGTGTTTAATAGGTCAGGTAAAAATTGGATATAGACTACTAATTAATTAATTATCTACGGATTCTAAGACCACTGACAATTTCATAACTTCTAACTTGACGATGAAATTGGGCAAAAATATTTTAAGATTATTGAATTGTAGCTTATCCTTACCATTCTGTAACACAGTAACAGGGAAGGAAGTGCTGGGGTATGACGTCAGCCAGCAGCGGAAGTTGGCGTGTGTGTTCTGTGGCACGATGACCTCGGCACAGATCCGCTCCAGCTCCCCCATCCATGACGTCATCACGTGGCAGTTCTGCAGCACCACCCAGCCGCCTGTCACTATCGCTTTAGATATCATACCTGATGCTATCGGACCCTGGAGGAGGAAACAATATTTCAGCATTAGCAGTATTCAGTATTAGCTCGTATTCAGTCATTGCTGAATAGCATTCTACTGAGCTCGATCTTTAGCTCTTTGTGTCTCACTACTTTATGATCAGCAGTCTGAAATGATCGGACATTAAAAACCCGTTGTTATTTATCATGCATGGGGTGACTAAGCCCTATATACATATTTATTTAAACGTTTATGTCTACAACATGTAAAAAACAGATTTAAGGAGCAGAATAAGGAATAGAAATTAATCGACATCCGACATTTCATCCATTCACGTTAATAGTGCACTTTATGGTAATCAAGACAACTTTATTATTTTTAAAAATACATTTCCTTCAATCGTTTCACCTGTCCTTGTCCAAGAGATATAGTTTCGAAGCTGACGACTTTCTTCTCCGTGGCGAACTTAACAAGCCCCGACATGGGGTCAGAGCCTGGCGACAGGATGAAGATGAGAGGTGAGCAGCAGTTGCTGTCGTTGTAGGACTTGTCCAGGTCGAAGGGGGGCGGCTCTATGTAAGTCTGGCCCATCTCCTTCACCACGTACTGCTGGACTAGAGGGATCAGCTTGTCTGGACGGATGCATCTAGTTGGGAAGGGGAAAACTTTAGTAAACAAAATATATAGTATAATATGTATGTATAATATGAAGTAATATGGCCTTCTTGCGAACTGTCAGGACGGCGCTCCGGGAGGCCCTTTTGAAAATGACACCACAAATGCTGCTAATCATTTCTTCAATTTACACTTCACAACTTTTGACTTACAATAATTACTGTGTGATATAGAACGGTGCTAGTATTTAAACAACTTTTTCTGAAGTGACTCTATACAGTAAATAAGACGTATATTTTATCTCACAAGGCCAGTGGTGGGGGTTGTCTCTTAGTCAGCAAATATGCTTGCGCGTGTAAGTGCCACAGGATGTAGTGATTGCTGTAATTGCAATTTACAAGTATAGGGCTTTGTTAACAGCAATGAAAGGATTGCTTAGATTGAAATTTACAAGTAGGCATTGTTAATAACAGAACGTCTATCTTGTATAAAAAAGCTTGGATTTTGAGCATAACACAATCTAAATGACTGAAATGACTGCCTCGTGCGTCCGCCGATTGGTCGCGAAGTGCGACCGCCGAGCAAGGTTTTGGGTTCGATTTACGGGTGCCCCACCCGTAAATATTACTGGGTTTTAAAAAAAATCTCAGTAGTAGCACGGAGTCTGGAATTCGGCCCGATATATGGCAATAAGTTCACCCTTTATTACATGTGACTCGTAACATTAATAGTGAAAAGTGTGTGTTACATTCTAAAGTGGCATAATGTGAACCTCTTTACCGTTCGGGGATAAAAGGCGTGATGTTGTGTAAGTATGTATGTACAATCTAAAATCAAAATTCTGGTAAAATAGCTATCAGTTGAACACTGTTTATTCTACTAAACCTTTGAGTGATTTACGTAATAACTATCAGTAGCAAGTAAAAAATAAATAAAAACTAAAGTGATCCATAAAATATTTGAGAGTTAGATAAGGCATTAATAATTTCAAACAGAAACAAAAACGCCAACTGACTAAGACAAAATGTCAGTAATATATAATCAGTTCCCTGGTACCTGAGTACGATGAGCTTTGGTATCCCCTCGAGCTGGTCGAAGGGCGCCGGCATGGGGTTCTCGTGGGGCGCCGACAGGTCGTAGTAACTTTTCCATTTGCTTACGTTGTTCTCGAAGTGGGTGCGGAAGTCTTTTAGCCTGAAATAAAAATCAAGAACAAATGGTTTAGTTTTTTTTATATTCGATGGGCCTATGTTTGACCACTATATCGAGTGATAACAGAATCAATGACGTATGCTGAGGACGTTATTATTCGAAGAAAGCATTTTATTGAAACAGATTTCCATTCTTTATTATTATCAGTTCTTACCTATATTTTTGTAACGTAAGTCTATGATTTTCTCATGTATTGTGGGTGGTCGACAAATGGTCTTTCCATTTGTCGATCCCAGAAAGAATTCGCGAAAATCGAACCCTCGATACGCAAAAGCACAGCAAATTGCGCAGCTACATAGTTGACAGAAACCACTAGATACTGACGCATTCAAGTTACTGCTCCTGACGACCTCTGACCAGGCCTTCTCAGACAGCCACCCAGCCGCGGGGTTCTCGTATGGATTATCCAGCGCCACTCCACCAGTCAGGAGGAACGTCACCATGTCGTCGTCCAACTTACCCTGGAAGACCACACACAACATGCATTGTCTCTTTTTTAACCGACTTCAAAAAACGAGGTTCTCGGTTTGATCTGATTGTATGTGTGTTTGTGCGCTATTATCTGAACTGATTTTGATGTAGTTTTCACAAGTGATTGTTACACATTTTTTTTAAGGGGAGAAAATCATCTAATTACTTCTCCCGCCTGGGTGAGGCGGAAGGGAGTGTCAGACTCTTACTGACTAAAAACCACCCCGTTCCTTCTCCTGCACGTCGAGCCGGAGCCCCGGTAACCCGTTAGGTTCTCCGCGACTCAGGGGAAGGTTTTAGTATATTAATTAACCGACCTAAAAAAAGAAAGGGTTTAAGTCGGATTTTTTGTAACCTTATAAGAGAATTATTATACCTATGACTTCTTGTCATATTTGTCTCTTTTTACCACTTACGAGTATATTACAAAGTCCTTTATAACAAGAGAATGAGCCACACTGGTACAAATTGCAAATACCGAGTGTTTCCAGGTCAGTTGAAATATAAATATCACTGAGGTGTACTTTTTGTTTTATCTTTTTTTTTCAGCGTTACCCCATACTAGGATTTTCTCCTGTATCGTGGGTGCGTTTACATACATACAAGTTCACATACACATGACACCCAGACCCGGAACAACAATTTGTGGATCACACAAGTTGTTCCGTGCCGGAATCGAACAAATACAAAAATACAAATATTGTTTATTTCGTCAATGTAGGTATGATACAATAGATAGTAGACAATATTATGGTAGTGCGCCACATTGCCTGGCAGTCGGTTGCCCAGCCATATCCATCGTTCTTAGTAATTGGATAACACTTATGAAACGTTATTGACATAGTAAATCGTGAAATTGTTAGCATGTTATTAAATATGTGCCAAACTTTTTACCCAACTGCATTGAAATAGAGGTTTATGATTTTGACCGATATTTTTATGTGTATGTAATAGCTACTTCCAAGCGGCTTCACCCGCTCTGTTCGGCGCTTATTATTCATGGAGTGAGCCTATAGACTACCTCGATAAATAGACTATACAATACAAAAATAATTATTCAAATAGGACCAGTGTTCCTGAGATTAACGCGTACAAACAAACAAACCATCAAACAATCTCTTCAGCTTTATAATTATAATAAGTAGGTACTAGCTACTTCCGCGCGGTTTAACATAGCCATCCTCGATAAATGCGCTATCTAACACAAAATGAATTATTCAAATCAGACTTGTAGTTACGGAGATTACCGCGTTCAAACAAACAAACAAAAAAACGTATAAGATAAGAGTTAGGGAGGGTAGGGAGGCCTTTGCCCTGCAGTGAGACGACCATGGCTAAAATAAAATAAATAATAAGATTTACGCAATTTCATTTAAAGTCATTCTTAAATTAGGTGACCTACCTTAGACCTCAATATACCGAGCGTTAGAACGAGTGAGAAGATGAGTTTGTCCTTCTCAAACAGACTCCGGCAGACGTTGCCGTAGATACTCTTGGTGAAGAACGCATTCAGACCGTCCAGCCGCTCCGACAGCTCGTCAGACTTCGGGGAGTTTAGTATAGCCTGGTTGTATAGGTTTATGAACCTGGAAATTATGGGCGAATTATAATATTTTAAATTTTTGTTGACGTTCAAAAGTGCCTTCCTGGGGGCTTACTTTTAAATCCATATCCGATCGATTGAAATTTTTAACTTTTGAGTTGCGACACTAGCGCCCAATTTCATCCGTATAGCGTGGATATTTAATAAACTAAATAGTATTGAGTTTATCTTTATATACCATACTCTGAATACTATTTTAACAGCTATGATGGGGTTGTATAGTTTTGATATGAAATAATTATTGAGATATTATTGAATTGACATTGATATTGGTTTATTAAGTAATCCAAGAGTAAACTCCCTGGTCTAATTAAAATAAATGACTTTGACTAAAACATTCTATGTAAATATCAGGTTTGCGCAATTTGCGCATATTTAAACGCAATGGTTGCACAAACAATACCGTCTTGACCAGCACAAAATACGGTTTTGAGAACTGCAAAAGGTTAATTAGTATTATCACCGTAATCAAAACACAAATACAGACGCTGATCTTATAGGTCTACATGTCTGTAAGCACAATTTTCTAAAAGCCCAAACTGTGAAATATGTTAATTTAATCTTATGCAACGTAATTATATGTTGGAAATAAAAAACAAAATTGTGTTAAATCACTTACCAAACCAATGAATACTGGTACATAGGGTCGATATTGGCGAGATCTGATATACAAAAGAATAGCACGGAGCTGTGTTGTGACACGGGCACATACAGGAGCCTGGCCTTGTCTATCTCGGCCTCCGTGATGGTGGCGGCCGCCTGCTTGGCCTCGATCTCGATGGAGAGTACCCTCGAGGATGACAGGATCAAGTTCGCCGACTCATCTTCTAGGATGTTGCCGGCTGATGATAGCACCTGGAACCAAGAGCAGAATACATTGATCATAACACTTTCTTTTCCCGTAAAAAACTAATTGGGCAGCAGCATTTTTTAATAAACCTTAATCTTTGAAGGTGTGATCTCCAATTCGCCTGCCAAGTGCAAAGATTATGTCATGGTTTAATATATTATTGTTGCCATAATATTATTACACTTAAACCATCTCACCTCAAGAATTTTATCCTCGATCTCCTTGAGCGTCCTCTTATTGTGAGCACCTTCAACGATGAGCTGGTTCTTCTTCAGCTCCAGCTCTGGTCTGTCCTGTGCCACTACGATACCCAGCAACTGGTCTTGCAGACCTTGTGGAGTTATCATGAAGTTCAGCAGGGTCACCTGTAAATATACCCAGGAGGAATTATACGAACATTAAGATTACCACGACGTTTGGTTATAGAGTAGTCGCAAGCACAACTGCCGACTAAGAAGTTTCTGGTTCTATGTCCTGGTTGTACATAGGTATTATTATTGAGAGGTTTAGTAATAAAAAATCCACAGTTACAGCAAGAAACCTGATATTGTAGCAAGTGTATTATACTATAACTAGCTACTTCTGCGCGGTTTCACACGCTCTGCTCAGCTTCTATTGGTCGTAGCGTGATGTTTTATAGCCTATAGCCATCCTCGATAAATGCGCTATCCAACATAAAATCAGACTTGTAGTTACGGAGATTATAGCGCGTTCAAACAAACAAACAAAAAATCAAACTCTTCCGCTTTATATAATAGTATAAGATACACCCTCTATTGTTTATATTGTACCAATAACATAAACATTGAAAAGTGAGCTTAACCTAGGTAATCTATGTAGTATAGATCTTACTGACCTTGACAGCGACTTCAGGTAAGTAGTGAGGGTTGCTGAGCCTGGTGGTGATGTAGAACCTGAAGTTGTGGTTGTACTCCAGAATGTTGTCGCCCAACTTCAAACAGTCTACTCCACCAGACCTGAGGACGAAATAATATTTTCTGTTTTTAATTTACAATCAGCCGATAGACTATGAGCAAATTGTTTGAGTTGAAGGTTGGACGTTTGGAGTGAGTACAGGTAAGATGCACATCAGCTCTCTTTAATCTGTTGGCAGGCACAGAAGGCAACAATTGGTGGACTAGTTGGATTTGGGTGTGTACATAGAAGTTCCATGTTCTTTTTCTTGTACTGTTCAATTCCAGTTATGACATTTGAGATTCCTAGATAATCGTGGATAGAGAGAGAGAGAGAGAGAGAGAGAGAGAGAGAGAGAAATAATAATTTTGATAAAATTGTAAAAATATTGGTATAACATAGACAATGAAAAAACAAGGTTCTACATCAGATCCTCACTTTTGCTTCTTCTTCTTTACGAAAGAAGCCAAACCGAAAGCCAAATTCATCCAGACTAGCATTCTCTTCAAAGAATAAGGACCAAGGGAATATGAATCAATTATAGTAGCTCAGCTCAGGTTAGTATCCTCACCTGAAGACGTTCCTCAGCAGCACAGGTTCGAGCAGTGCGTCCAGAGTCTCCCGTATGTTCTCCAGCATGACGGGGAAGCCCAGCTGGATGGCGTTTTCCAGCACCCTGCCGTAGTTGGAGTCCGTCAGCTTTATCACCTTCAACTGGTTCTCGCGCTCCATGTTCTTAACCCATTTGTTTGCTTGCTCTAGAAGCAAAAGAAGAGTAAACGAAATTGTGACTTAGTAAAGATGGCTGCCTCGTACGTTCAGTGAATAAGGTCAAAGATATTCATAATGGTCGTGACATGCAAAGTATTATTGAGTTTTACGATTTGCTTCTGTGATTAATAAATAGTATAGAGTTAGAAATGGCGCCCGGTATGACAAAAGGGTTACCCAAATTACATAGGAGACATAACTCTAACTACCGAAAACTCGTGGTAACATTGTTGTAACTGTAACATACAACAATGATAACTATATCATTTAAATAGGCTTTCGGAAAATAAGGTAAGACAGTACGTTTTGTAACTTCGTAAACATACAATGTGTACAAGTGTGGGAGAGCCATGCTTCGACATGAATGGGCCGGCTCGACCGGAGTGATACCATGACCTCACAGAAGATCGACGTGAAACAACGTTGTGTTGTGTTGCGTCGTGTGAGTGAGGTTACCGGATGCCCAATTTACTCCCCCCCCCTCCCTTTTCCTAATCTCTAAATCCCCAGCAATCCTCAAATTCCTAATCCCAAAAGGCTGATAACACACTCGTAACGTCTCTGGTGTTCCAGGTGTCCATGGGCGACGCCGATTGCTTACCATCAGGTGATCGGTCTGCTCGTTTATCCCATAAAAAAGACATGAATTATAGCACCTGTACAAAAAGTTTAATAGTTTAAAGTTCCACATTACCTTGCGGATCTATCATGAGTGCCCAGCGCCTTGCCTTCATGACGATGATACCGTTCTGTATGGAGTAGTTGTCCACAGGCAGCCCCGCTATGTTCCACACTCGGATCACGACCGGCTCGCCCAGCGTCGTGATCAGGGAGAACGTCTCCGAGCAGGGGATCCCTGGGGATATTATGAGGCTGATATTGGAAAGAAAAGTCCAAAACTATGATGTAAAAATTATAACTTAACTAGCTGACTGAAACTTCGTTCCGCCGAATTTTCTTCTCACCTTTCACGAACATTTAAAGGTCAAAATTAGCCAAATCGGTTTAGCGACTAACGAACGGAAATTCATTATTATTTATAAGGTACAACTAGAAACAATGCCAGCTAGGTGTCAGTCATTAAATTTGAAGGTTGTAACTAGATAGAATTCAGTGATGGAGCTATGACAGAAGCCTATCATCGTAGGTCTAGATGGAAACAGGCCATTGGCGATAATAACAAAGTTTAATAAAGATATAAAACTCACTGAGTTGCCTGGCTCGCTTGTTCCATGTCTGTATGATCTCGGCTCTGTAGTTAACAGTAAAGGGGCCCAGGTATGCTATACAGCCCGCTGACAGTAACACATCACCTGAAAACAAAGACATCACTGGGAATTGGCGTAGAACAACACAAGTGTTGTATTTCTGAGGTAACCATCTCAGTTCGAATTTCTTGTTGCACTTGTCTACGGTCGACATTGCTTACAGATGTTTTACCTCACGAGCGCAGGTGCGCTATACTTGTGTGGGTCTATGTACACGCACATTGTGTTTATCTGCGTCCGCTCGGGAACGTCCAGGGTTGAGATGTGACGTACGCGCGCGAGTCTATACGCACTACTACTACAACTACGGCTCACCTGCGCTCGTGAGATAAAAGAACTATACCATCTAGCATTCGTGTGCTCTTTTACTATAACAAGATGTATATTATTTTATTATTATTATTTCATAACTACTTTTACAAAAGGCAATAAAACTAATAACATCAATCTTTGTACCCAGTACCCACCGATAATGTTAGACAGCAACTCCTGCAAGTCCTTGGCGAGGTCAGTCCACCTCGCCTTCTCCCCTCCAAGTCCCCCAATGAGCTGCTCGGCGCGCGTGAGCTTGGTGGAGCACAGGTGTATTTCGTCTTCTAGACCCTTCTTCTTACGGGTCATTTCCGCAAACTCGTCGTTTAGGGTCTAGAAGAAGAAGTTGGTTTGAAAAGATCCCAAAAATGTATGTACTGCTGAGTAGGAAGCTTTAATTTGTGAGTCGCACGGTATTACTGAACTTTTACATAATAAAACATAACATTACGCCTTTTTTCCCCGAAGGAGTAGGCAGAGGTGCACATTATGCCACAGTACAATGTAACACCCACTTTTCACTATTTATGTTATGAGTCCCATGTAATAGGGGATGAGCCTATTGCCATATACCGGGCACAATTCCAGACTCCGTGCTACTATTGAGATTTTTTTTAAAAATCTTAATACTTTGCCCGACCCGGGAATCGAATCCGAGACCCCTTAGTCGGAAGTCGCACTTGCGATCACTCGGCCAGCGAGGCAGTCATTATTGAGATTTTCGGCTTATAAAGATAATCTATGATGTGGAAGAATGCTTAAATGATATGTAGTAAGAAGAATGGATGACCTGCAACTTGTCGAGTACGCCCTGCAGCTGCGCGCGCTTGGCGTTGAGTGTGTTCATCTGTTGTTGGAGCTCCGACTCCGCCTCGAACAGCGCCGCCTTCTTCGGGGCCACCACCTACACCGCGCCCAAGAATGACAATCATAGAGCATCAGAATACTCAACAACCACCTTAGTTACAACTTAGTATAGTTAGAAAGTAGCTAACAGAATCAGTATTGCACCAAATGAAATCTTCACTATACCAATAAAACATTTACAGTATGCCACAAAAATATTTAATTGGGATGTTCCCTATCAGGTAATCAAATTCAACACTTAGATGTGCCTAATCTCACGATAAAGCTTTTACATCATTTGAATTGAACAGCAAATATAGTCATGTAAATTAACTAAACGCGTATATAAAATTTCAGATCAATCAGTTGAAGACATCTGAGCAAGATTCCACGTCAGACACACTCAAACACAAACACACACACACACACACACACACACACACACACCACACACACACTTTGTATGGATTTTAGGAATAGGTAAGTAATATGTACAATTATTTCGTGTAAAGTAAAAATAAAAGCTATGTACCTTGATGACCCTGTCGTACACATCCATGGCCCGCACCCATCGACACAGTCCCTCGCACGCAGACGATATCTTCGCGATCACTGCAGGGTCGAAGTCACGGTCCGGGATGTATCTGTTATCATTTATTTATACAAAGATTAATAACTAAGGTGTTTTAACTAACTACCCCTAAATCATGCCCTTAACTAAGAGTTACTTAGTGTAAGAGAGCGCCTAACCTCTGACTTGTATCTCTAATTAACCTGTCTTTCATTTTAAGGAACCCCTGGGTAAGTTAGGTGACAAAGACATTTTGGTAATTCACGGTACCACATGTAGTTTATGTGCTGCTTTACGGTAAATAACTCTTAGTTAAGCGATGATTTAAGGGTGGTTAGCGAAAATGGATATAAACGTCATTTCGGTTCGTGAAAATCAAAATGTCGTTAAAAGTTACCTATTTAAGATTCTTTAAAATTGAAAGGAATGATCATTAGAAATTAGGAGAATGAATGAATACTTTAAAATGTCGTTATGTCTTATTCGTATTAGATGGGTAATACTAATATAGTATAACAAATAATGTTTATTTGGTGAAAAAGCCAGATTATAAAATAAATCTTATTACCTAAAGAAAGTCTAAAACCTGAACTAGGGTGTGGATGAATTGCATCTATTGTTCTGCAGCTTGATTCCACCGCGATTACAGGTAATTAATAATTTTTAAACAGTAATTGTCTATAATCAAAACAATCCAATATTTTAATACTTTGCCGAATGAAATCAAGCTTTACTGTTGTCACTCGATTTTCAAACAAATTCCTTTAAAATTTGAAAATAATAATGTACGGTTAGGTACACCTTGCTTAGGTTCGCTGGTAAAGATGTTTACTTCAAGTTGGTTAAGTTGATGAGTGCAAAGAGAAAGAATCACTTATGTTACGTTTATTAGTTAAGTTATACAAGTAGAAGGTTAGCGATTCCTTTCTCTATCTATCTATAATAATCGATGACTATTTATACTTAAAATTACGAACGAGGGACGCGACATAGTTGCCACATCAGCACTACCCATATACAGCGTGTACAGTTTAAGACTGTACGAATATGAATCGTACCTATCTCTAATCTTCTTCATTATAGCGGGCGGTATGTTATCCTTGTCGTAGTTCTTCAAGCTCTCCAGAAACTTCATGTCTCCGAGCATCTTCAGGGACGGACCCCAGTAGTCCTCGAACGGTTTCCCTGCACGATACCAAACAGAGTATATAGTAGAATGTAATGAAATAATTGTCAAACGGTTTTTTTAAGGTACAAGGGTACCCCTCATCTAGTAATTGAAAGATGGACGTGTAAAAGTGTTACTTTAATTTATTACAAATACATGATTCATGAATAAAGAAAGAAAAGCTACGCCTTCGGGAATAAAAGGCGTGATGTTATGTATATTACTTTGCGCAACAAAAATCGATGTAGTTTTACAAACACAATAACATCAAAAAGAATAACGCCCGAATACTGAAAGGCTACTCAATTTTAAGTTCTATATTTCAATATCAATTTATTTCTGTCATTTAGCAAAGAATTAGCAGTGACAGAACTATACTATAACTAAACGCGACTTAATAGAGTGGCGTTTGAGTATTCTTTTTTGGGTGCGTTTACAAACATACAAGTTCACATACACAATGACACCCAGACTCAAAACAACATTTTGTGGATCACACAAAGTGTACTTCCGTGCGGGAATCGAACCTGCGACACATTGCACGGCAGCCGGTTGCCCAGCCACCGCACCAACCGTGCAGTATTTGGACATAAGTAACTGACCATTAGGATCAATCTTCCTATCTCCCTTGATCCCCTTCATCACGCACACAGCCTCCATCACCAGCTTGACCCCTGAGGGTGGGTTCTTCATGGACTTGACCAGGGTGATGTCGGCTGGTTTTAGGGTGTTCAGGGCATCCAGGGCGGCTTCCAGAGCTGGTACAGCTTCGGCCAGGTCTGACTCACAGTCGTCTTTAATGGCTTGGGCTGCTGCAGCCGCTTCATTGGCTAAGGCTTCATCTGCACCTACTATCTGTTATAGAAAAATAATGATACATTTCAAGGATGCTCGATAAGTTTCGAAGAACACTGGGGCTCTTATTAATAGGCCATTAGCTCTTGAAACTTGTAATAGATACCTCTTTCTGCTTCTCAACCACGACGGTATCTTGTTCTATCTTGATCATGAGCTTCTCAGTCTTGTCTGAGGTTTCCACCAACAGTGGCTGCAAGTCCCTGAGGTTCTGCTGCATTACTGCCACCTGACCTGCTGCGAAGTCTAACTGTTCTAGCCCGGTTTCATACCTGACGGAGAAAAAGCGATTATTTTTCATAATTGTCTTAGGATCTCAAACTGTCGTAAAAGGATATAAGGTGAGAAAATTGCTACCGATTTGTTGCAGCTATAAATATAAATACCTTTCTGATATTTTATGACACATTTCACATTGATCTTGGTGTATAACATTAGTAATTTAATTGATTTGAGTTGTCTTAGTGGGTCCTCAGGGGCGTGAAATGGAGTTTGACACACGAATGACTGTAAAACTGTATATATTGGATTAAAACTTCAAAGTAGACATAAACAAAGTTGCAAAATATTACAAAACTCAAATATTTTGGTACGAATACGGAGCGCGTGCGTCGCGGCTCCGGCGAGGAACTCGTTGTTATGTTGCGTGATGCGTGACGCTCCTACGCAAGCGTCAAGCGGTAATTTACACCTACTATTGTGTCTCTCTGCATCACCCTAAGGTTGACTGTTAGAGAATGCCACTAGGCATTAAGTCCGCCATTGTATACAATTGCAAGAAGTGTAAATAAATAAATAATTGGCGGGGAAGCGGGGGAAGAGGGATAGAGAGGTCGCGTGTTGCCACTAGAGTGGCGCGCGTGCGTCCGACACAAACCAAAATCGAATTGCCGCGTTACAATAATCTTATATCTTATCTTACACTATTATAATAAAGCTGAAGAGTTTATTTGATTGTTTGTTTGAACGCGCTAATATCAGGAACTACTGGTCCAATTTGAAAAATTATTTTTGTGTTGGATAGTCCATTTATCGAGGAAGGTTGTAGGCTATTAAATATCGTTACGATCAATAGACGCCGAGCAGAACGGGTGAAACCAACGAAAGTAGCTTGTATACAATAAACTTGCCTGATTCTAGACATCGTGATCTGTTCAACTTTCAGAGCGTACAACGACATGAACGCCTTGATCAGCTCTAAGTAACTAGTCGGTGTGACGTATACCATCCTCCTTTGTTCTTTATAGAATCTGAAACCAAAAGTGTGGGAAGTTTTTACATGTGTGTTGTGTTACATGTAAAGTACATGTAACTTACATACTATTGCCGGAATACTGAAACGTTACTCAATTTTATGTCGTGCTCAAATATCGTGCCATCTCTGTCATTTTACAAAGAATTTGTAGATATAGAACTATACTTAAGCACGACTTAAAATTGAGTAGCGTTTCAGTATTCCGACATAAGACTATTTAGACACCACTAACAAACGGTGAAGATAAATATTTTAAATAATAATTTTGTAATCGCCAACCCGCCTTGAGCAAGCGTGATGATTAACCTCTTGTATGTTGATATATGAGACACAATAGAAAACACATTGTGCCTCGCGTAGATCTGCGTTTCAACACTTCACAGGTTAATGCTTAACCTTTTCCGTACAATAGGTCTTTGGTCAGTAGTGGCAATTTATATTGGCTGTTGATTTTTTTTATAGCATAAGCCGGTAAACGAACAGACGGATCACCTGATGGTAAGCAATCGGCGCCGCCCATGGACACCCGTAACACCAAGGCGTTACTGATGGATTATATGAGGATTGTGGAGGATTCGGGGATTCGGGGATTCGGGAGACGTGGAATAGGGAGGGGGTAATTGGGCCTCCGGTAACCTCACACGACGAAACACAACGCAAGCGTTGCTTCACGTCGGTTTTCTGTGAGGCCGTGCTCCAGGCGAGCCGGCCCATTTGTCCCGAAACATGGCTATCTCACACTTTAAATGATGGAATAGATGGAGTGTGATTTATTAGGATTTCTACAATTCTCTTTTTAAAAGTTTTTTACCTATTTCGTATTCTGAGTACGGAAACTAAACTACAAACATACAGGTGTCCCGACTCTTATACATTATCAAATACAACATTTTAAAGACGTAAGTACCTGACTGACTACCTCGATGACCGAGTGGTCGCATACTACCGGGCAAGGGGTTTCGGGTTCGATTCCCGGGTCGGGCAAAGTATTACTGGATTTAAAAAAAATCTCAGTAGTAGCACGGAGTCTAGAAATGTGCCCGGTATATGGCAATGGCAATAAGCTCCATTTTACATGGGACTCATAACATAAATAGTGAAAAGTGGGTGTTACTTCTGTGTGCACCTCTGGCTACATGTAATAACAAAAGGCGTGATATAATGTGATGTGAGGCCGTGCCTGTCACTGAGCTGCACGACGGTGGTGTGGAAGAGCTGGCACATGTCGACGCAGGCGAGGCGCAGCTCGTCGTCCACGTCCTCCATCTCGAAGATGAACATGTGCGCCACGCGCTCCAGCGCGTCCGACGGCCACGCCGTGAACCTGGACCACGACATGTACTGACTTCTCATCTCCGATACAGAATATAAAAAAAAAATACCTAATTGTACCTACTCATCCTGAATTTATCTTTGATTATTTCAATGTAAGTTGTTTTTTTATAACTTTTTAGTATTTATAATTTACCATAATTGTATAATAATTAGACTACTGTTACATCTTTTGGAAATTTCTGTATTTAATAAACGATTTTATTTTTTTTTTATTTAAGATCAAACTTTTTACATTCACTAGGTGGCGCTATCGGACAGCGCAGATATCTACGGGAAATGTAGATATAGTGCCAAACAATGTACTCCGCCGCCCGTCACTACATTGTACGGCATACTGCTATTATAAATAACTAGCTTCTGCCAGTGGTCGCTCGCAGTCCCATGGGATAAAAGTAATCTATTTATTTATCACTAGCTTTTACCCGCGGCTTCGCTCGCGTCACAAAAGGATAAAAAGTAGCCTATGTGACATATACCAATACATACAGCGCCATCTATACCAATACTTTTGTTTTCTCTCGGGAATATCACATTTTTCCGGGATAAAAAGTACCCTATTATTTAATCCAGACTTCTAAGTTTACGTCTGCAAAAATTCAAAGCAATCGGTTTAGTAGTTACGGCGTGAAAGTGGAACAAAGAAACAAACAAACAAACAAACTCACTTTCCGATTTATAATATTATATAGTAAGGAAAGGATTTCATGCACACCATACAGTAGACAATATTACAGAGGACAAAACATTACAAGCATGAGGTGTGCCTATGTGTTATTCCCGATCATAACCTACCTCTATTTCACATCTCATCTCGATCCCATCAGACATTTTGATGTAAAGGAGTAACATACCAACATACATACATATTGTTCTGCCTCGTTGGCCGAGTGGTCGCAATTGCGACTGCCGGGTAAGGGGTCTCGGGTTTGATTCCCGGGTCAGGCAAAGTATTACTGGGTTTTTAAAAAAAATCTCAGTAGTAGCGCGGAGCCTAGAACTGTACCCGTTATACGGCAATAGGCTCACTCCCTATTACATGGGACTCATAACATAAATAGTGAAAAGTGGGTGTTACATTGTACAATGGTATAATGTGCACCTCTGCCTACCCCTTCGAGGATAAAAGGCATTATGTTATGTTACATACATATTATAAACGTTCAGATTATAATATTAGTAGTACAAATCTTCCAGTTCTTATAACTAGCTAGTATACAACAATAAAGTCCTACCAGTCGATGGTAGCGCAGTTGATGAGTGAGGGGAACATGCGGAGTCGGTTGCGGAACGAGTCCCCGATGGGGGACATCGACAGTACTATACGCAGGTTGGCCTTCACGCGCTCCACGTAGAAACCGAACATGGCCAGCGGAGTCGTTTCTATTTTTTTACCCTACGACAAATAATTGGGAATGAAGTTACTCGAGTGATTTCAAGCCACGCTAGGGGCACATATTCATGGCCAACATCTCGGGAGAAATGACGCAATGCGCATTGGCGCATAAAGTTGCACCAACATTTTTTTTTTAATTTTGAATAATTTTACACAAGCATTGTCTCGTAGGTCCGTTTACAAATATACAAATTGACATACACATGACACGTAATGGTAAAATGGGGTGAAAAGGGACAGAAGAGGGGTGAATAGATAAAAGGAAATTCTTCATAGTATCAATTCACCCCTCTTTTGTCCCTATTCACCTCTCGATCCCTATTCACCCCATTTCACGGTAGACCCGGAACAACAATTTGTAGATCACACAAATAGTTGCTCTGTGCGGGAATTGAGCTCGCTATACATTGCGCGGCAGCCGGTTGCCCAGCCACCGCGCTAACTATGCAGTCTAAACTTGTTAACGAATTTGCAATGAAAATAAAACGGTTCACAATAACTCACGGACTCCCGGACGGCAGTCTGCATCTTGTCCAGGATCTCCACCTTCTCATCAATACCGTACAGGTTGGGGATGTCGCCCGTGTTCAGCAACATGTTGATGTCCTCCACCATGCCCTCGTACATTATCTGGTGGGGGAATACCAGGTTTGTGATGATGACGTCATAAGTTGCTAATATAGTTATTGTTAAAGAGGTATCTCATGAATGAAACGTTCAAGTGCATCATCCAATATTAGATCGAGAACTCAAACTTAAATATGTGTTTTTGAAGAGTACTATCTATATTTTATGTAATTGTTTTGAGTAACTCATATTTTTTTAATTTATTTGAAGGAGTACTGCGACATTACAAACATATGACATTTAAAATACACAAAAGTAACAAAATTATAGGTTGATCCATGTAACAATAATGGCGTACGTTCATCAATTTAAAAATGGCTTAAAAATAGAATACAATTTGTTTGATTACAGAAAATGAAAACGAAAATCCATAAAATCTTGGTCATTCATTTCATTCATCATATCTAATCTTAAATACAGTACATACCTTAATTCGCGTCAGAAATACGAACATAATAAAAAATTCTAAACCAACTGTTCCATGAATTTAACATTCCAAGTGACAATAAAACTACAAACTCTTCAATTTTAATGTAATTGGGTTTTCAGTTGTATTGGTACCTGGTTATCCGCGAAGAGGAACACGAGAGGCTTCCCAATGATGCCAGCCTTCATCAGCAACTTCCTGATGTCATCGCGCCACTCGTTCTGACCGTACACTCGGGATATTTCTATCTGTGAATACAAGGATGAAAATTGATAATTTACATAATATTTACAGCTCATCTATACGTCGACTTGTCGAGGCTGCTCGACTAGTTTCGTGCCCGACCGGGCCTTATAATTATGAGCTGTACAAGCGTACTCATATAGTTTATGAGAGCTAGGTTTGAGTTTATTTAATAGAAGATAGAGTGACTAAGATGTGACCTGAATGACATTCATCTCCAATATGCTGGCAGCCAACTTGACAGCACTGCTCCTGCCGCTGCCACCAACTCCCACCAGCAGTAGGTTTCCTGATAATGGACATACATTTATTTAGGTACACCTAGGCTATACTGAATTCGAACTCTCGGAGGTCGATCGCAATCTCGCCCGTCATTGGTCGAGATTATTCTCACGACCAATGACACGGCGGACTTCTTACAGAATACTTCAGCAGTATCTACTTTATTAAATAGCCTTTTATCACAACACTAGCTTCTGCCCGCGACTTCGTACGCGTAATCCCATTTTTTCCCGTCCCCGTTCGTGACTTTCGGTAAAAAGTAATAAAAAAAAAATTGGTTAAAAAGTATCCTATGTCGGTCTCCTGGCTCTAAGCTACCTCCCTACTAATTTTCAGCCAAATCTATTCTGCCATTCTTGAGTTATAAGTGGTGTAACTAACACAACTTTCTTTTATATATATAGATAATAACTAGATGAACATTAAGCAGAAACTAAATTTAAACTAAACAAAGAAATAAACAAACTAAATAAAACTGTTTATAATATAAAGCGAGGTCCCTCACCATTATCCTGCAGTAGTACCCTGGTGCAGCGCGAGATGTGGTCGAGTGCATATCGGAACATGACCAGCGCCATCGGGGACGACGTCACCACGTTGTACTCCTCCAGGTAGTACTCCATCTTTGATGTCATGTCGTCCAAGCTCATCACCTATGATAAAGGGTTGTGTTAAATATAAATAGTACACATTTATAAGTCATTTTTTTACTAAGTGGGTAAAATCATTGAATGCCTTCTCCCACCTGGGTGAGGCGGAAGGAAGTGTCAGACTCTTACTGACTAAAAACCACCCCGTTCCTACTCCTGCACTTCGAGCCGGAACCCCGGTAACCCGTTAAGTTCTCCGCGGCTTCGTATCAGCCTATTGGGCCCCATCCGTGACGGTCTTTGAGGCGCATGATTTATTTGTCAATACACATAGATGACCGGGCAATTTCGTACCGCCTAAGATTTTTTCTCACCTTTTAAACCCTGGACTTTCACAAACATTTCAAGACCAAAATGGGCCAAATCGGTTTAGCCGTTCTCGAGTTAATCGAGCGAGACTAACGAACGGAAATTCAGTTTTATTGTAAGTCATAATCTGTAGTTAAAGTGCCATTGACCTTATTCCTGAATCCATTGTTAATCGTAGGGCTTTCGACTTTATAATATAAAAAAAAAGAAATTAAAGCACAGAAAAATTGTATTACTCTTAAATAATTTGGATTATCTATAATTATATATAAAAGAAAGTCGTGTTAGTTACACCACTTATAACTCAAGAATGGCACAATAGATTTTGCTGACAATTGGTAGGGAGGTAGCTTAGAGCTAGGAGACCGACATAGGATACTTTTTAACGAATTTTTTTTTTACTTTTTACCGAAAATCACGAACGGGTACGGGAAAAAATGGGATTACGCGTACAAAGTTGCGGGCAGAAGCTAGTTTTAAAATAAAAATTTAAGTGCCCACTTACAGCCAGTTTCAATATCCTATCTATCTGTAGATTTGCTTACTAGAGATAGAATTTTGACATAAGCTCCATACAAAAAGTGTCAACATTCTATCTCTAGTAAGCAAATCTGAAGATAGATAGGTTATTGAAATTGGACGTTAATCCACAAACAATTCCGCCGTCGTCACCTGGTCGTATATCTTGGGGTCAGCATCAGGCTCCATGTAGTTCCCGAAGAAGATGTTGCAGGCGTGTTTGTTCCCGCACTTCTCTCCCTCGGGAACGAACCCCATCTCCTGCAGCACTGCGTCCATGTGCACGCGGAAATTGTTGTACACTGCCTTGTATACAACGTCGTACAGCTTCTCACTGTGAGGGAGTTTGAACTTTATTGTGGAAAGAGTAGAGTTGAAATTCTATTAAAGGATGGCAGAGTTCTTTGTAACAGGGATTGGGGATAAAGCGATTAGGAGAGGATTAACCGATTAAAGGACCGTTAACCTCCCAAACACGGCGACATAGAACGCGAACGTTGTTTCACGCTGGTCTGTGAGGCCGTTGTATCACTGCGCTCGAACTAACCCTTGCTCTCTTGCTTCAAATATCAAAACATGACATGTAATAGGTTGTGGTATGTAAGTCGAATAGAATTATTTTTTTACTTTTTTTAAAACGTTGCCCCACACTAGGATTTTCTCCTGTGTTGTGGGTGCGTTTACAAACATACAAATTGACATACACATGACACCCAGACTTGAAACAACAAATTGTGGATCACACAAAAAGTGGGTCCGTGCGGGAATCGAACCCGCTACACGTTGCGTGGCAGCCGGTTGCCCAGCCTACGCGCCAACCGTGCAGTCAAATCAAATAATTACTATTGTGAATAATGTAAAAAAGAACTCTATAAGAAGGTTAAAGAAGGTCGAGAATCGAATAAAACTGTAAACACAAAACGTACAATTAGTTAAACTATAATCAGTAATCCTTACCGATCTGCATCATCAGCGAGTCTATCATAGAACACTCGATAGGCCTCGTGTATCCACAGTATGACCAACTTATTGAGGTCCTTCATATGTGTGGACGGTACAAGGAGTATCCCTTTGATGACCCTGGCGAAGTCCCTCAAGTTGAATAGATAGTGACACTTGCTGGGGGTCGGCAGGAACTGCAGCGTTACTGCCTTGTATACTTCCATAGTCGCTGCTACCACCGCCTGGTAGGATAGTTCACGGTGTACTTAAAGCTACATAACAGATATACATAACTAGCTACTTCCGCGCGGTTTCACACGCTCTGCTCAGCTCCTATTAGTCGTAGCGTGATATTTTATAGCCTATAGCCATCCTCGATAAATGCGCTATCCAACACACAAAGAATTATTCAAATCAGACTTGTAGTTATGGAGATTAGCGCGTTCAAACAAACAAACGAAAACAAACTCTTCCGCTTTATATAATACATAGTACTAGCTGACCCGGCCACGCGTTGCTGTTGCTGTGGTTTAAATTAAAATTGCGACTATAATTTGAGATTTAAACTATCCTATCTCTCAAGTTGGATCGAACTGCACATGGTGTGCGAATTTTATTATAATCGGTTAAGTGGTTTAGGAGTCCATTGAGGACAAACATTGTGCCACGAGATTTATATATATTAAGATAAGATAAGAGTATATAATAGTATTAGATGTATTGTGCTTTCATGTACGGAAGAATTAGACAGTGGTGTGTTCAAATGTAATATTTAGTTTTTGCCAGTTTGGTATGAGTCCCATGTAACAGGGGATTGCCAAATTATGCAATCTTAACCTTCGCAAATACCTAAAGTATTTCGGACACCGACAAAATACAAAAAAAATTATGACTTGAGAACGGACCCCGAATCTCATGCGACATTTGCACTTATCTACTCGATAAATAAGGTAGTAAAAAATTGAACGTTTTAAATAAGAAAACAATCAATCACTATGTAGCTACCTTGGCCTGCCTCTGCAGCGCTTCAATGAATCCCTTACTGAAATGCCAGTCCATGATAGTGCCGAAGATCTTGTTGAGAGTGTTGTCCTCGAAGGAGTCCAGCGTCACTATCAGCATGTGACGCGTCAGTCGGGACGAGATCAGGTTGGAGCCGCCGCCAGGGGGGAGCATCGCTGATACGAACAGCTAAAGGATGTGGAAATGGATGAGGATTAAAAACACCCAAAGTTATTTGTTTGTCCATTTATCATTCATCCATGTCTTACAGAAGTTGCAGCGATTTTAAAAATTTGTAGTAGACTTATCCCAATAAAAAAATTCTCTGTTCATACAAGATCCAACCGTCCATCTTTCATCCACCATTCAATAATCATATAATACCTATTCATTTCATTATCCTTATTCGACTATAGATTTTTCACTTTTCATCTACCATTCCAAATACATATTATATGCCATTCATTATCCAAAATCCAATCTTTGTTCATTCAACATCCATAATCCATCAACACCCGTCACCCACAAGTGAGCAGTAGCTACGTACGACGTCGACGACCTCCTGGCGCACCATGTCCTTGAGGTCGTACCAGTGTCCGTGGTCGATCCACTGCCGCAGCAGCTCCAGCGGCGGCTGCGCGCCGTACTGTTCCTTCTGGGGCATGCTCAGATCGTCCACGAATAGTAGGCACTGGGACAGAAAGTTCCATGCTTTTATTGAATTAATGTAAAAGAATATAAAGCTGTAAAGAATATAGAACGCATCATCGCGTACCACCAGGCGCGATAGTGGACAAACGTCGGCGCATCGAATATAATAAAAAAATTTGAAAGCGACTGTGGTGCGGTCACATTCATAAAACTGCCAACAGATATAGATTTGTCTAGACTTCAAGAAACGAAAACCTACTTTGATTACTTCTCGAAGGTTGACGTCCGAGCATCTTATAATGAACATTTATGTTTGACTTGTAATTTCTACGTAACTCTTTGATAATGTTACCTTTTTCCCCATGGAGGGTCCGAACACACCTTTACGTCTTCTGTCCACTTTGGACATAATGATGTCTTGAGTCTGAAATAACATAATAAAGCCAATCACATCAGGCCGTCGTCGGAACTTTTCACTTATACTTTTGTGCACGGTAAAGCGTCACCTTCTAGACGTCTTGAAGTGTCTTAAGAACATCTATCATTCAGATACAAGTACCCTGTTACAATCTCAAAGTAACAAATAAAGAGGATGACTGGGTATGAAAATTAAAAATCTACTTAGTCCTTCAGTTAGGTAATGGAAAAATATTACACACGATTTTTTTATTTTGTCGTATAAAAGACAATACTTAGACAAAACTAATCAAAGTTTAGTTAGGAGTGGGAACTATAACGTCATTTAATTTTCTACGTATAAAACTTACATTTGTTTATAAAAGAAAATAAAATATACGTGTCTAATGTTTTAAAATAATATACCAGACGGATATTACAATAAAAATTAGTTATCTACCGTATTACATCTACAACTGACCTGGTTAGCCGTGGTCCTAGCAGAGAAGGTGATGGTATTGGTAATATACCGCTCCTTGGGCAAGGACAGTAGGTAGTTGAGCACCATGGAGGACTTGCCCGTGCCAGTCGGACCCACGATCAGTATCGGGGTTCTCGCCCTCACCATCTTGTTCACGAAGTACCGGAGACATGCGTTCTCATTCGTTAGAATTATTATGTCGTTCACCTAGAATATTGTTAGCATTTGACTAATGAACCCATGGATACCTTACAACACCGGAATAGCTACAAGTAGGTTGCCGACCTTTAGGTGGGAGGGATTGGACTTCATGCGACCTCACTAACATGTTACCTCACATTATTAGCTAAAAGTTCACTTTTAGTGTAAATGGGGATTACTGTTTTTTTTGAAAAGGCATAATTAAAATTCCTTGTGGTTAGCTACGTACTAGTGATGATTCTATTAAGCTACAATGGAAAAAAAAACAATAAATTATATTTTATAACTCCCTTACATTAATGGGTAACGGGATAACTATTTTTTTTTAAACCTTTTCTGTCATGAGCAGCATTGTGTGACGTTAACCGCGTTGTTTATTCGGTCTACAGACTTATGCGACATGGACAACTTAGTTTTACTTACCTTAGCAGTCGGTGACAGTGGAACCTCCTTCTCCAGCTCCATCCAGGATATCCAGGTGCCATTATTCCTCTTGTCATACAAGTAATCGAACACAGTGTCTTTATCAGGGAACAGTTGGTTCTTGACAAGTTTGAAGGACTTTGGTTTGGGGTAGTGCGTGTTGCTGCCGTCTAGCAGCTTGCGGAAGAACGTATCGAATATCTTGCGACTGTCACCTGGTCATATATTTATTTATTTAGAAAGAAAAACCAGGTGACACATACAGATTATGCGCATACAGTTCGTAAATACTAATGTCCCAAGTCTGCGGTGAAATGGGACCAGCAGCTGTAGCCAAATGCAACTTAGCGCTTTTCTACTTGTGGAGTAGACAACTAAATTATATGGAATTGACGTAAATTTTGACATTTGTCAGTGTCATATCGATACATTTAGTTTTCTACTCTCTTGGGAGACAAGAGCTAAAGTGGCGTTTGGCCAAAGGAACAGTTCAGCATATGCAAGACAGGGCCTTGCGCTAGTATTCTATTGGCTCCTTATTTGATTTGTATGAGTTTGAACCCGCAACACATACAGTAACCTAACCGTGCAGTCGACTTCTTTAATAACTTTACAGTCGCTACCGGACTATAAGCTTTCTCTACATGAGAGGGATGGTCGTAATCTCCATACTTGGCGGGTGGATTAAAAAAAGGTTATAACCTACGTTAAATGTTAATTATACGAAAGAGGTATGTCGGAATCGTAGTAATTGGCGTTCCATAGTCTCTGCCTACCCCCCATGGGAGACAGGCGTGAAGTTATGTATGTATGTATGTATAAATAACCTACGTTTAAAAATCAGACTTCAACCCCCTCTTCTTTTAAAGTCGCTTAATTAATATACTAAAACCTTCTCGTAAGTGTAACAAAAACTTTTCTGAAAATCGCATCAAAATCGGTTCAGACAATCGAGGATAATCGCGATAATACAGACGTACTACATACATACATACAGGTCAAACATACAAACTGAGAACCTCCTTCTTTTATTGAACTCATGATTCAGGTTCATCCTCTGGTGCACTGCAGGGTCTCCGTTAAACATGTAATCTCTTATGACATGGGAGTACAGATGGTGGCCAACATATTGTACTCTGCCACATGTATAATATTACTACCCTCGCGCGGTTTTACCCGCTTTGCTCGGATCCTAATAGTCGTAACGTGATGTTTTGTAGCCTATAGTCTTCCTCGATAAATGGGCTTTTCAAAACAAAAAGGATTGTTCAAATCGGACCAGTAGTTCCTGAGATTAGTGCGTACAAACAAACCAACTCTTTAGCTTTCATCACGCCTTTACATTGCATTGTTGAATCTGTACCATACAATTAAAACTTATATAGAGAGATAAAGAAAGAGAGAGAGAGAGAGCGAGAGGAAGAGACATAAGAAAACAATTGTTTTTTTCGATTTTTATTTAATTAATACATATATAACATGACGCCTTTTACTTCCGAAGGGGTAGACAGAGTTGCACATTAAGGCACTTAATGCCACTGTACAATGTAACACCCACTTTTCACTATTTGTGTTATGAATCCCATGTAATAGGAGGTGAGCCTATAGCCATATATCGGGCACAATTCAAAACCACTGCTACTACTGAGATTAAAAAAAACCAGTAACACTTTGCCCGAGACCCGAGATCCCTTGTCCGGCAGTCGCACTTGCGCCCATTTGGCCAACGAGGCAGTGATTATGTAATAGGTACCTCTAAGTATGAGATATCGCGTGTGTTACCGTTGATGATGGCGGCGAGCCCCCACAGCAGAGTGAACACGAAGGTGCACTGCAGCCACACCGTGCTGAACTGGGCCTCCGCGTCCAGCAGGCACGTGAACAGGCGCGCGAACGACTGCAGGGGGGGGACAGAGATACAATTCTTATATAAACTCCAATGGCAATTGAGTACTTTCCTCATCATAAGTATATTATTTCAACTGTTCAATACAATAAAATATTTAAAATAATCACACTTTCATTAATTGATTTTATGACCAACTCAATTTTAGTATCTTTCCAGCAAATTTTGAAGAAATAAGTATGCTGTTTGACGTTAAAAAAAATATGACGTCACAAAACAATCTCGTACAAAATTCATAGAAAACTGTCGTTTTGGACAATTCGAAAAAAGTATTGAATTTGATTAGTTGGCAAGTATCCAATTCCACAACACTTAAATTAAAAAAGAAGCATATTTAGAGCGACTAAGCTTTTTTTATAGCATAAGTCGGTAAACGAGCAGACGGATCACCTGATGATAAGCAATCGGCGCCGCCCATGGACACCCGAAACACTAAAGCGTTACAAGTGCGTTACCGGCCTTTTGGGAATTTGAGGATTGTGGAGGATTCGCCGATTCGGGAGACTAGGGAGAGAGGTAATTGGGCCTCCGGTAGCCTCACTCACACGACAAAACACAAGGCAAGCGTTATTTCACGTCGGTTGCCTGTAAGGCCGTGGTATCACTCCGGTCGAGGCGGCCCATTCGTGCCGAAGCATGGGTCTCCCACACTTAAGAAGGAGGGAAGTCGTGAGTAACGTAGCATACATATGTAAAGCTATGACCATAACTGGCAGACCAATTCAAATTCCCCGGACATGCAGATAATAATGTTGTTACACACCCATATCCGTACATATTCCACCCAGCTTATAAGAGCTATATCTTGAAGCTTAACTTTAGAAGGCAATCTCGTAGCTCTGCATAGTTACAAGTCCACAACTTACATAGAACTGGTGTATCTCCCCGACCTTGACGAAGGCAGTGCACTTGGCCTGGAGGAAGTCCAGGATGGGCTGCACCAGCCAGTCTATCAGCTCTTGGATCAGCTCGTACTGCTCCGGGATCAACTTCTTGGTCAAGTACACGTTGTATGAACTTAGGAACGCCCGCCAGCCTGTGTAAACGGATTGTCACCTTTACTAAGTTTGTAATAGTGTTTAAAATGTAATAGATTGGGTATTTTAAACATGTCTACAGTACGGATTCCGGTATAGTACCCGGTATACGGCAATAGACTCACCCCCTGTTACAGGGGATCCATAACATAAATAGTGAAAAGTAGGTGTTACATACAATGGCATTAAGTGCCGGAATGTGCACCACTGCCTACCCCTTCGGGGATAAAAGGTGTGATGTTATGTTATGTATGTTTAAATAAAACGAATAAAATAAAGAATGAAGCATCATCACTACATAGTATAAAACAAAGTTGCTATCCGCCGTCTGTCTGTCCCTATGCATGCTTAGATCTTCAAAACTACGCAACGGATTTTGATGCAGTTTTTTTTTAATAGATAGAGTGATTCTTAAGGAAGGTTTATGTGTATAATACAAGCATATTGCATGTATTCTACACATAAATGCGAAGTCGGGACGGGTCGCTAGTTTTTAATAAAACGAATTGTAATAATCTTGTTCACCATACGCATTTGCGACCACTCGACCAATGAAACAATGAAACACAAACGGAGCAATAACAATAATTGAAGTAGAGTAAGTACCGAGCATCTCCGGCTCCATGTAGATCATCCCGCAGCGGGACACGGTGGCCGGCGAGGCAAACTCCAGGTCCGCAGCCTCGAATATCAAGTTCATCTTGTTCGTCATCTGCAGACATTTTAACAAAATAAACTTATTATATTACTAATTATGTTTCGTCCGATGGCATTTTGTTCTATTTGATTTTTTTTAAATAAATATTGTTGTTCGATCAAATACTACCACCGTGAGTGATGTCCACACGGCAATGCGTAATTAATTTCATATTAATGTGCATATAAACGCGTGCGTACGCATAAACACACGCACGTGTACGCACACGGATAAAAAAATGCGTGTGCGTGTGGGTATAACCGATAGTAGTCTTACGGTGGTAATGGACTTTTGATCTTTAACCGTACAGACCTGTATGATCTCCCCGCTCATGAGGCAGAGCTTCTTGTTATCATCGAGCACAGTGTTCATGTTCTCTATCCACACAGCGTCCACGGGTCCATCGAACAGGATCCACTTGCGGTCCCGAGTTATTGACATGGCGTACTCACGGAATGCTATCGCTAGCACACCGTCTGTCCTGCGGAGTCATCATCATCACTATCAGTAGCTACTCCTGAACATGGACTTGTAAATAGGCTAGTTGGAAGCGATCTGTCGAACGATCCTGGGGGGCTAGACTTTATCAACATAAAGTCGATAAAGGCTAACAACATATAACACGGATCGACTCATTAAATCACTTTTTACAATCAAATTAAGGGTTCTAATGCCATTTGAAACTAGTCGGACATTACCGAAATATGTCAGTAAGGCGTATATAAATTTCTTAACTTGTGATGATTTCAGGTACATACATACATAGTCTCACGCCTGTCTCCCATGGAGGGTACGCAGGCTATGCCAATTGCTACAATTCTTACACACCTCTTTCGCTTCATCAACAGTCATCAGTCTTTTCATGCATGTTCGTCGGTTAAGGGTACTTCTAAGTAATTAATATAAAAATAGAAGTCACCATTCATGCGAGGCAGGGTCGAAGCATCCATAGAGCTGTCCCATGGTGATGGCCTTGGGGTTGAGGATGCGGTAGATGGCTCCGAACTCCTTGTGTCGCGGTGGTGGCTTGGTGAGCTGTAGAGCGCGCAGGGAGTCCGCCAGGGTCTGGTAGGCCTGCGTCTTGCCTCCCATCGGCTGCCCCACTATCATGAACCCGTGCCGGACTAGCATCATCTCGTACACCTACACACGTAAACAAAATTATTTATAACCGACTTAAAAAACAAGGAGGTTCTCAGTTTGATCTGTATGTATGTGTGTTTGTGGTTTGTGTGCAATTATCTCGCGATTAGTTGAACCGATTTTGATGCGGTTTCTTCTATACGTGGTTTTTAAATTCTTCGTTTTCTTCTTATCATCTGGCTACTGCATTTGTGCAGGTCGCGTCTAGTCTAGCTCTACAAACAAAAATAATATTTTTTTCAACTTTTCGTTGTGGCATCTCATAAGAATTCTTCGTAACAGCACACCGCATGATTTTACTGCAACTCAAACAATTTTGTCACTAAATAAAACCTACGCGGAAACAATGATCATAAATGATATTAGATTGAGCTTCGTACCTGTATAATCTTCTCCAGATACCAGTCGGTGGCCTGCAGGTTCCGCTTGTCCAGCTCCTTGAGTATGCAGCGCGTCAGTTCCACGCGGTCTGGCTGCGGGATCTCGATGCCGGGGAACAGGTCCGTGTAGATACCCGTGAATAGAGGCACGTCCTGGATACAAACATATTAATTTAAGGTTTTTCTTGGTAGAACTAAGATTTCTTTTCATTTTCATCATAAAGCCCAAGCGCGACTGTTGGGCAAAGGGTTTCGGGTTCGATTCCGGGTTGGGTAAAGTATTAATAGGTTTTTTTAAAAATGACAATCGTTGCACGGAGTCTCGAATTGTGCCTGCTATATGGCAATAGCACGGTTGGTGCGGTGGCTGGGCAACCGGCTGTCGTGCAACGTGTCGCGGGTTCGATTCCCGCACGAAAAAACACTTTGTGTGATCCACAAATTGTTGTTTCTGGTCTGGGTGTCATGTGTATGTGAACTTGTATGTTTGTAAATGCACCCACGACACAGGAGATAATCCTAGTGTGGCGCAACTTAAAAAAAAAAAATACATTGTATTCTTGCATTTAGTGCCGTAATGTGCCCCTCTGCCTAGCCTTTCGAGAATAAAAAGACGTTATTTTATGTTTTGTATATTAAAAAATAAAAGATTACAACTGATAGTATTACTCCCACAGTGCTATAAACTCCATAGTATCAGCGTCAACGTCACCTGTGGACCATTGACGTATAAAAGTCATTTATAAGTTACCTGTGAGAGGAACTTGGGCATATTAACATCGATGATGGCTCTGAGCACGAGTTGTGCCTCGTCCTTCTCGGGGTAGTTCTTCTTGAGCGCGCCGGACGCCAGCAGGACCGACTTGACGGCGCGCATGCCGTAGTCGTAGTGGTTCTGGGACGATAGCTGCTCGGAGCAGAGCTTGTACGCCTGCACTATCTTACGGGCTAGTCTGGGAAGATTAATTATCATGTGAATTAAAGTAAATATGACAGGTTTATAAATATGACAAATATTTTTTTTAAATAGACGTTGCCCCACACTAGGATTTTCTCCTGTGTCGTGGGTGCGTTTGCAAACATACAAGTTCACATACACAATGACACCCAGACCCGGAACAACAATCTGTGGATCACACAAAGAGTTGTTCCGTGCGGGAATCGAACCCGCGACACGTTGCGCGGCAGCCAGTTAACCCAACCCAACCACCGCACCAACCGTGCAGTCAAAATTACCCCCCCCCTTTCCCCAATCCTTGAATCCAACAATCCTCAAATTACTAACATCAAAAGGCCGGTAACGCACTTGTAACGCCTCTGGTGTTCCAGGTGTCCATGGGCGACGCCGATTGCTTACCATCAGGTGATCCGTCTGCTCGTTTACCGGCTTATCCCATAAAATTCACAACATGACCGTACGTCACCAAAGAATCTTCCCTTTTTCAAATGTCCACTTACCTCTGTTTTTAAGAGACCTTATCTTTTTGGGAATTGTCTCAACCATGAATAAGATAACCATACAACACATTTTTAGACGAAATCCCTTATCATCATTATATAAGCGACAAGACTTCTACTGCTGACCACAGGCCTCGCTCAATAACTTCCAGATAGGCCGGTATATTTTGGTACATATCAAAAGCTATAAAAAGTAGAGTACTGACGGTCCAGCTTGTACGAATCCGTTGGAGTAGAGCGTGATCTCCCCGATCATGGCGTAGTCGGGCACCATCATCGCCACCGTGCGGAACAATACCTTCAGGTTGTCTGGTAACTCCGTGCGGCCCGCGTAACTGAAAAATGTAAAAAAATTGATAGAGTGCCAAGTCTAAGGGCTCGTACACAAAACTGCGGTGCGAGCGTCCTCTAAGCATCGCAATAACTTGCGAATTGATCAAAATTTTATCTTCCCAAAATCTTCTTTGTTTCTTTTTCCTGTATTTCCTAAGCAATAACAGAAGTGCACACTTCTTTTTACGATCAATGTTAAATTTAAAATATGTGTAGTACGGTTGACGGTCGTCGAAGGAATGGTCACCCTGGCTGGGAGTCTCCTTGTTGTACGAAATCGCATCACAGCAATTCGCATGGTAATTTTTTGCGTTGCAAATTCGTATTGCAATTTTGTGTACGAGCCCCAAAGTGTTTTAAATTGGTAAAGTCAACATTTACATGTTTTCATTGCCTCAAAGGATAAGCAAAGTTGTATTAACACTCCCTTCTCACCATTGGCACGTCTCAAATATGAGTCAGAAGTAAGAAGGCACGGGTGCAATTTCCGTCTCAATTAAAATGTGTCTTTATCTATCTATATGTTTTACGTGTAAAAGTGTAAAAGTGCTGCCTTGTAGCCTATTTGCAGAAATAAATTCACTTGTTTCACTTGTTTCACTTACTCATTGCATTGGTAAAAGTTTGGAATAACTTGTAAAAAGTTAAAATAAATGTTTATATACACGTACCCAGGATTCATCGTAATGAACACCGAGCAGCTCGGATTGAGGCTGATCTCTGTTCCCTCGAAGACGAACCGCTTCTCCCGGCGGAGGATGGCCAGCTGGATGGAGAGGATCTGCTGGGCCACCACTGACAGCACCTCCAGCTCAATGCGGTTGAACTCGTCGAAACATGCCCACGCGCCAGATTGAGCTAGACCCTGAAGAAATGAATATTGTACAAATTACCTATGCTTGCGTACGTACGACTTGCAGTAAGTGCGGTTGCAATGGCTAAGCAAAACGAGTCAGGTTCGATGCCGGGCCTGAGTAAATTATTTGGCTTCCATTGTCAGAAAGGCTTTTGTCCAGCAGTGGACATCTTCCGGCTGTTGATGATGTTGATGTTGATTGTCAGAAAGAGGATCATCACCTCAAGAGCTTTACTTTATATTTTCGTTTAAAAAAAAACGAGAGTAAAAAAGAACGATGAAGAATTTTTTTTCTTGTATAGGAGTACAATTTTATATGGATTGTCAGTATACATATGTGAGGACCATGTCAGACTGAAGATATTTGTTTTCTCTTGGTTTTGTTTTTTATTTTAGTACGTTCTGTTATTTGTATGTTGCGTCAGGTATGTCTTTACATTATTCTCACATGTGTGTACAATATTGGAATATGTATCAGAGCAATGTAAAACAGACATTTTTTTAAAAGAGTAACGAATGGAGTTTCTTGCTCGTTCTTCTCCACTCGAATCGACATATGGAACGAGCGCCTAGCTTTACTGACGGACAGACTGACAGACTATTATTTATTTCATATTTGTTGACGTTTCAAAAGTACCAAATTATGGTTTAATTGAAATAAATGCTTTTGAGTTTGAGTTTGAACGAAATGGTCATTATTAGATAATGTTTATTTAAAATAAGTAATACTGAATAAACATTGAGAAGGTTACCTTGAAGAATTTGCCAAGCGCCTTATAGTCAAGTCCATCGGAACAGTTGAAGACGACGCACTTCTTAGCGACGGCTTTAGCCAGGTCCTTGGTGGTCTCCGTCTTACCTGTACCTGCTGGACCTTCGGGGGCACCGCCCAGGTTCAACTTTAGGGCACTCATGAGAGTCCTGGGGAAAATAAAAGTATCGTATACAATTATAAATTCTTTAGCTGACCGGACAAATTTCGTACCGCCTTCCCTGACTGGGAAGGTTTTAAACCTTAGACAAAGAAATTTTTGAATCGGTTCAAAGTTTGCCCGGTCAGCCAGTGAATTTATAATTGATTGATTGCGACCCCTAGCATTTGTCCAATTATACACAAACATTTTAAAACCAAAATTAGTCAAATCGGTTCAGCCGTTCTTGACTTTTAGCGAGTCTAACGAACGTAAATTCATTTTTATATACGTAGATAACATCACTTATACCTGGCCTAATATCTCTTCAATAATCACATTCTTCAACAAATGATTTCTTAGGGCAGTATCTAACGTATAGTATGCAAATCTGAAATAGACTGTCGTTGGCCGAGTGGTCGCAAGTGCGACTGCCGGGCAAGGGGTCTCGGGTTCGATTCCCGGGTCGGGCAAAGTATTACTGGGTTTTTAAAAAATTCTCAGTAGTAGCACGGAGTCTGGAATTGTGCCCGGTATATAGCAATAGGCTCACCCCCTATTACATGGGACTCATAACATAAATAGTGAAAAGTGGGTGTTACATTGTACAGTGGCATAATGTGCACCTCTGCCTACCCCTTCGGGGATAAAAGGCGTAATGTTATGTTATGTAGTATGCAAATCAAAGATAACTTTATGTGTAATCAAATCAGGCTTAAGCCCTTAAACTTCTATTCAACACGAGTGCACCTCACCTGAAACACCGGTCAGTAAGCGGTGTAGCAACTAGTCGTCCAATATTGCCCAGGTATTCGAACCCGTACTCCACGTCGGTAGTGATCATGGAGCAGATCATCTTCTCTCCGCGCCAGTAGTACCGCAGCTGAGAGATCCAGTTGAAGTCCGTGACGTCCACTACGTTCCTCTCTAACAACTCCTCCTGGATTGATCGACCTGCAATAAAATATTTTAAAATTATAGTTAACCTAAAGAATTAAATTAAAGATTGCCTCGTTGGCCGACTGGTCGTAAGTGGTACGCCGGGCAAGGGGTCTCGGGTTCGATTCCCGAGTCAAGCAACTCAAATGCAACTCTGCCTACCCCTTGAGGCCTAAAAGGCGTGATGTTATGTATGTATGAAATAAAAGTCGTAGAAGAAAAAAGCAATTGTTTTGTTATCTCTCTCTCTCTCTCTCTCTGTCTGTCTGTCTCTTTCTCCATCTCTCTCCATAACTGTTAGTTGCATAGTACAGATTCAAAAATGAAACAAATACTTTTAACAAATCTGTCATAATCTAAACAGCATGTAAAGAAATTTAGATATTAAAGAAGAATGAAACGAATCAGAATATTCATACCAAAGTGATCCTTACATTAAATATGAATAAAGCGTGTATTACCGTGCACATCGAGCACGATGAGTGCCTCGACAGTGATCCTGTTCCCCGGCTTGAGGTCTCCCTGCACGAGGTACACGAGTCCGTTGATCTGGTCCGTGCTGCGAAGTATCTGCTCCGGGAGGGAGTTCGTCTCTATCGCTTCTATAGTCTATGGGGGAATTCAGAATTAAAGTAGAAATAATCTGTACATTGTTTAGCGGAAATAAGGTTGAATTTTCTTCGTAATCTATCAAAATTGACGCTACAACGCGGTTTGGTATGTAACATAACATCACACCTTTTATACCCGAAGGGGTAGGCAGAGGTGCACATTATACCACTGTATAAAGTAACACCCACTTTTCACTATTTATGTTATGAGTCCCATGTAATAGGTGGTGAGCCTATTGCCATATACCGGGCACAACTCTAGACTCCGTGCTACTACTGAGAATATTAAAAAACCCAGTAATACTTTGCTCGACCAGGGAATCGAACCCGAGACCCCTTGGCCGACAGTCGCACTTACGACCACTCGGCCAACGAGGCAGTCAAGCAAGATTTTTGAACTCCACTAACTAGGAACATGGGTCATTAAAGTGATATAAAGTATATGTATACACGATGACCCTGACCTCGAGCGTGTACTCGACGCAGGCGCCGGACTGTACGATCTGTCCGGGCCAGATGAGCACCCAGTCCTCCCTTCTGGTGGTGACGTAGCTGGTGATGGCCTCGTTGGCCACGTCCCGCAGGCTCACTATCATCTGGTGCTCCAACTGCTGCAGCCAGCGCTCCACCATGCCCTGCCGGAGACAATTCAATCATTTTTTAAAGAAATCATCTAGATGAATGTACCTGACGGAGTTATTTAGTAACAATGTTTCGTTTCTTTCTCTAAGACTGAACTAAGTAAGTGTAGTTTTTAAGAAGTCAAAGAAGTTTCACAAGGTGTATATGTGAATATCAACACAATAGTGTTGATATTTCATATTTATTAAAATATGCCTAATAGAAACGAAGTATCCTAGTATCATAAATAGGACACTATCTGACACATAAACATATATGTCCAGATGTCAGCATCTGTGTGTCTGCTTACATACGTCGATGGTTATTTATGATACTCGTATAGTTTTCTGTTTAATGTCGTGGTGGCCCGGAGGTTTAAGACGCCCACTTCTCATGCATGAGGGTGCGGGTTCGAAACCTACCATCGGCAAGTACCAATGTGACTTTTTCCGAGTTATATGTACTTTCTAAGATTATTTAGACACCACTGACAAACGGTGAAGGAAAAACATCGTGAGGAAACCTGGACTTATAATTTCTAATTATAAGTTTGAAATCGCCAACCCGCATTGAGCCAGCGTGGTGATTAATGCTCTAACCTTCTCCGTGTGAGAAGAGGCTTTGCTCAGCAGTGGGCATTTATAGGCTGTTGATGATGATGATGATAGTTTTCTGACCAAAATATAATCCTTTAAGTTCCTCAACCAAAAACAATATTGACATTCTCTCTACGTTCATCAGTACTAAGCAAAAGATTACACCACGACAACTCCTCACCTTGGCATCAGCAGGCTGTATGGTAGAGGACAGTTTGACGGACTCTCCCTCCGAGGAGGCCATGCCTACGATCTCCTTCGCGAAGTTGAACTCCAGCGTGTAGATACCTTCGAAGCACTTCTTCAGGTGAGGCTGCACTCGCATGGGATCCTTCGTTTCTGATAGAATCTCCAGCAACTCGTCGTTTGATAGGAAGAAGAATCTGAAAGAGTACAATATAACACTGCCTTATACATTTTTTTTAATAATAAATATTTATTCTCCACGGATTATTACATGGGACTCATAATATAAATAGTGAAAAGTGCGTGTTACATTGTACAGTGGCATTAAGTGCCGTAATGTGCACCTCTGCCTACCCCTTCGAGGATAAAAAGGCGTGATGTTATGTTATGTATTCTCCACGGACTCTGGGTCCGTGTCCATACATATTTTTTTACAATAGGTCTAATCAATGTCCATAAAGTACCTATGTTACACATTAAAAATCACATCTATAATTATTACTACAAGAATACTTTACATGCAATGCAATTCTCTCTCAATCGTCCTCCCCGTCCCTAATCCTTTCCCCCATACCCAATCCCTAAAAGACCGGCCACGCACTTGTTACTCCTTAGGATGCGCATGGGTTGTGCCAATTGCTTACCATCAGATGATCGGTCTGCTGGTTTATCCCATAATGTACTATAACAAACCTGGGGAAGAACAGCCTCTTCTTCTCAAGATAATCGTTAAGTCCTCGTTGGATGTCCTCCAGGAGTACATTGTTGTACTTCAACGTCTTCAGCAGGCCAGGGAAGTCAGTGGCCGGTAGGACCATGGGGTCCTTCTGTGTGGCTATCATGATAGTCTTCCACTCCTTGTCCACGTCGCGGAAGTTCCTTGCTTCCGTCGGCATTTGTCTCATGATGTCTTCGGATGAGAAGATTGGTTCTAGATACATCCATGTGGCTTGGCACTGTGGGATAGATTGTTTGTTTATTTGAATAATATTGGGCTAAAAATGGTTTTTAAAAGTAACCAAATTTTGTTCGACAGCAGGTTTTTTGATTACGAAACTCTCGATTGAAGCAGCATTAAATTGTAACCTCCTTATTTTGCTCTTAATACAATAGAACAACGCGGAAACTGGATACATTAACTAAATTATTTGACCATGGAAATTAGTATCATGTGCTAACCGTAAGCCACTGGTCGAGTATATCCTGCATGCTGATGAGTTTCTCCTCCCAGGCGATCATGTCGGACTCGAATGCCTTCACATAAGGAGAGCCGCGCATGGTCTGAGATTTCAGGATGTGGTCGTCTAAAAGCTGCTGGATGTCATCCAGTCCCGTTAGGATACCTACACCTGTGTCCCTGGGAAATGGAGAAAAACAAAATAAATTACATATTTGCTATTATAATGACTAAAATCCGTAAGAGTAGAATTCATTTGTAACCACAGTATCCCTTAAACTTACCGTAGGTGTCGTAACTAAGGGATGGATGCTTAAGTAAGTAATTAGGTATACTTAACAGAGAATACGAACCGCAGTATTATTTTATAAGCCTGCGTTTTTTTGATATTGCGATCTCCAAACCGAGGAGATTTCGACAAACAACCCTTTATGCTGAATAAATGTTTTTTCTTTCTTTCCTTCTATAGAGAAGGCTCCAATTTCAGCAGTTGTTCATATAATGACTAATGATACAGGACACTTTAAACCAGCTGATCTGGAAGTCCAATTGTGTCTAGGAGTGAACGACTTGTGATTAATATGATGATGCTGACACCCACCTGTAAGGCACGACCTCGAACTTGACGCCGACCCACTCGTCCTTCATCTTGTTGAGTGCCTTCTCGAGCGCGTACTCCTTGGAGGCGTACTGCTCTATCTCCTCGAGCTGCGCCGCGTACACGTGCACGCCCTGCTCCACCATGTCCGCCAGCGTGGTGCCCGCCTCGTGCACTACCTCGGCGCCTATCAGTTCGCTGATCTTTGCCCAGTGGCGCTCGCGCATACCCTGGAGAATGACGAATAATATGTATGACATTTTTATGATATCAAATGCTTTAAAAATATCACCCTTGTTTAATTTGAATTGGTTTAGGCGCAACATGGATTTTAATATGTATTTACAAAAAAGTTTTTTCTATAAATCAATGTACCTGTGTAATGTTACTGTGTCAGATTCGATGAAAAATAACAACAACCACTTGCCCTAATCTTGCTGAGTTCCATGTTTGATAATAAGAAATAGGCCTACTAACATACTTCATTTTATAAAAACTCTATGCTCCTACCGAACATGAGAATAACGGCTTAGACAACTTTGTGACTCGAAGCTAGTAGAGCTTTTTTCAGTCTAGTTACATGAGTAACAGACGTCATGTTTAGTTAATTCAGTATGTCACACGATATTTTTTATTGAAAACATTTTACTTCGACATTACATGTACTTGTTACCACTAAATAAAGCAGGCTTCAAGAGCGAAAAAGTAACTTGTTTTTTAACAAAACGCAATACATACATAGCTCTCTAATGGGACAAGTCCACCCAAAACCGCTGCAACTCCTGTAAGCCAGGATCTACAGTAGATACAACCATGAAAACATCGGAACACTGAAGTCCGGCGCGTCCCAGGGATATAAATAATAGCTGTTGTAATCTTGTTCCCGCAACGAAATGAATCACAAAATATTATAAGAGAAGAAGTACATACATACCTTATTACAAATAGCGCAGAGCACAGGCAGTAACACCTTGAACTTCTCCACTTTATTCCGCACCATGTCTGCAATCCGCTTAGCGCCCGGGTACTCGTAGAGTTGCTTGCCCAACTTGTACAGTAACTTCCACCACGCCTCTACATCTTCAGCTATCTGCTCCGCTTCCAGACCTTCGAAGGGACCATGGTACCTGCAGACCATGACTAGCTTTGATGATGTTTGTATAAATAACATAAATAACCGCATTAGGTGTGTAAGACATATTTTATACTTTTTTATTTCAGTTACTTTTTATTTATTTTGTAGTTAATTTTTTGTAATCTTTATTATGTTATTTATTATAAAAAAAAAACGTTTTTGTACTCTTAGCAATAACAAAATGTACAAATAGTCATTATCAATAAACTACATTTAAAAAAAACCGACTGCAAGCTCCATTTTTTGCTAACCTAGCCTGCTCTTAACCTTAACCGACGAACATGCATGAAAAGATTGATGACTGTTGATGAAGCGAAAGAGGTATGTAGGAATCGTAGCAATTGGCGTTTCCTAGTCTCTGCCAACCCAATGGGAGACAGGCGTGAAGTTATGTATATGTAACCTGCTCTTTGATGTAATAAACCCTTTTCTGAAAACGCTTCAAAGTCGGTTAGCCAATCGCCGCCAAAAATACACATACATACACACTGGTAAAACTAAGAACGTCCTTCTTTTTTTAGAAATCGATTAAAAACGACCTTAAATTGCATTAAAAAAGGTTCAAATTCGCTTACCACTTCTCGTATCCGTCGTAGAAGTCGTATGCGGTATGCCAGAGTTTGTGGAAGGGTTCGATGCCTGAGATCATGGTCTGCAGGCTGTAGTAGACCGACACCTCCTGGTCTAGTAGTGTTTCTTCATTTATTATATACTCGGCTTCATGTTTGTCTTCCTGTTGAAGTTAAACATTGTTACATTAACTGCTCAATCCCCAAGCGCTCACCGGTGACAGCTTTCCACTAACTCCATTATAGACCTTACTTCAGATGATTAGAGACTACTTTTGTATGAACAAATTTTTGGGGATATTTAGTACGATATATCAACGTATTAATTCCAAAGTTAGCACAGTTATTGACGTGACAACGTCTTATAAATTGGTTTGCCGGGTGACACTTCAAGAAACTGCGTTACGCTCCGCTCACGTTATGCGCTCACAATGAGAGCGAGTGAGAGGCACGCGTCCCTTCCACTCGGCCATGGTTAGCCCGCCTAAGAGCGAGAGAGACAGACATAAAAAGTGAAAGGCACGCGTCCCTTCCACTCGAGCACAGTTAGCCCGCCTAAGAGCGAGAGAGACAGAGCGAGAGAGAGAGAGAGTGAGAGAGATAGGCATACACACCGGTTCATGTCTATACGAATGAATATTCACATTAAAAATATTTTACCACTCAAAGTCGTTGTCACGTAAAACTTTCGCCCGTATACCGACTTTACAGGTAACCAATTTTTTAGTACTAGCTTCTGACAACGGTTTCACCCGCGTTCCCGTGCGATAAAAATAGCCTATGTGTTGTTCCAGATCATAATCTACCCCTGTTTCAAATTGCACCCCGATCCCTTGAGCTGTTTTGACGCGACAGAGCCAGCGCTGATGTGCTGACTGTACTGTGGTTTATGTAATACCATCTTGTCAATTTAATAAACCTCTATAATATTAGCATATCCTGAATTGTTATTCATTGTAATATAGCTATTGGTTACCTAAATTGAAATAAATAAATAAATATTACAGTTTCGACTTTGTGCTATTACTGATTTTTTTCCTAAAGTTGTATAATTCCCCAATATTAATTAATTTATACGACGAGTAAATCACTTGAACCACAATCGTATTTATGATACAAGATACTGACACCTGATTCACGAAAATAATATCAATTTATTTTATACCTAATTTAAAGTGACAAAGACATCCCTGCTTACCATCAAATTCCTGAATATGGCATCAACCCTTTCAACAGCATCTTGCAGCAAGTCTAAGTTCAACAGTGGAGGATCAAATCTTCGGAACAGCTCCAAGTCTTTCTCATGCTTCTTTAGTTTATCTTCAAAGATGGTCTTGCGACTCCTCAGCTTGTCTTCAGCCATGGTCTTCTTGGTGTTGAGGGTCTTTAAAGTCAGGTCTATCGTTTCTTCCATGTCCAGGGGCCAGAGGAAGACCCTGGTATTCAGGTTCACATCTTCAACTGGAATATTGGCGGAGGGATTGTTATATATGAATTGAAAATGGGATTTTGACAGTTCAAGGTTATTTGTATCTTTCAAGAATTCTTTACAATTCTAACTAAACGATCACAGCACAGCTTTTAATTTTAATCTTTTTTAAAAAATAAGGAAAATAACACTCCCTGATTGGTCGATGATAATACAATTTACCTTTTGTTTACTACATAACATATGTTTATAATTTTCCTAGCACATTTATAAAGTTTCGGTTTTTATTATTTTCAGGTAACAAATATTTTTATATATTTGATAGGCCGACGTTCGACCATTATCTCGCCTAATGGTAAGCAATGATACGGTCTACGATGGAGCACGTCGACCCATAGGCAACCTATTCACTCGGGCCTTGAAGACACCCTTCAGGAATATAAATCAAGAGTATTCTTATCCCTACTACTAGTACCTACTTTATCAGAAACACCTCTACAAAGACTCACAGGTAAGATGCGCATGTTGCATGAGGAAGAGCACGTACTCCGCAGTGGTGCGTGCCTTCTCCCGGAGGTCGAACATGGCACTGTCGCGGCAGTCCATTATGTACGTGATGAGCTCCACGAGCTGCGCCGTGGTCTCGGGCGTCTCGGAGGCGCGGGCCGCCATGTCCTCGTATATGTTGCAGATACTGCACATAGAGCCCCGGTAATCCGTTAGGTTGTCCGCGACACTTATAGGTATACCAGCTTACTAGTTTTGTCTGCATTCTTGTGATAAATGCTTATCACACTACTATTATAAATATGAAAATGTCTTTGTTTGGATCATACATACATATTGCTATTTTTTACCAATTATTTACTATATAGTATTTATTTTATTTAAGTTTATATTATTTACAAATTAAAGATTAATTCAGATACTTGTTGTCATCCTACATGACATTATGTAACGCCACGTATTCGTTAAAGGTGACACGCAACACGAGTAATTCTCAAATCTACATTATTAATTACTGAGAGCTATTGCTCGACTCCATAACCCCTGCATTATGTCCTTGGTTTGTACTTAATAATACTTAATAATAAATGAATTTTCTCATTATTTTAGGCTATACCAGAAAATTTTGCAGGAAAACGCTAGGATTGTTTACTTTTACCCTCTACTAGTTTAAGTCTTATAGTATTTGAACAGTACCTACTGCTACTACACGGCGCTATTACTAATAGTGGCATTAACAGAAAATAATATAATTGAAGAAATAATCCAACAAACTCACGCTCGATTCCACTTCCGATTAACATTGATGAAGTGGTCGACGATATAGTCCCGCAGCCCGTTGACGATGTCCCAGAGCGTGTCGTTGATGGGCGCGCAGTCCAGCATCACCATGTTGAGGGGTATGTCGCGCCGGAGGAACAGGATCTCGTCGCGGAGCTTCTCGTACATGTAGATGCGCGCTGAGAAGTCCTACCGAGAGATACAATTAAGATACGTTAAGTTTTACTTGTCTATCAACGTTGATATTAGTATCGAGAGAACGTCTAAATAAAATGGAATATACGCGACAACGGATTATGGAAGCTACTCATAAATTATAAGTGTGATTGTGTGACTTGAAACTAATATAGATATTTCCAATAGTAATCGTTAACGTAATTAAAATACCTTCAAAAACGGCGGTGGTTCCTGTGCAAAGAAAGCAAGTAGATCCTGTTTGGCTTCTCCATTGAGTATGTAGAAGTACTCGGTGTAGCTGTCGAGGAAGGCGCGCGGGCCGGGCTTGTTGACGGACACCTGGCGCACTGCCTCGCTGATGACGTCTATCATGTAGCGCTCGTCCGCGAACACGCCCATCAACATCGGCTCCGGCCGGGCCGTGTCTGCGCGGATCAACAGAATAAAACTTATTATACAAAGGATAAAAGTATACTATAGAAAAAAATGACAGTTCCAATGCCACCAGTCAACTCACCGCCGGCGCCGCAGATGATGTTCACAATATATTTTAATAGAACCGTCTAAAGGATTTTACAACTTATCGATTGAGAGGAAATTGGATATCAAAATCTGTCACTGACTTATGGGAGTGATACATAAATGGCAGTGCGACTACATGTAGATTTTATTTAGAAAACAGTAAAGGATGTACTCATGTTTATCTGGGTTTACGATATTGATATAATTATGTATTCTGTCATTTTATAAACTACTAGCTTCTGCCCGCGACTTCGTACGCGCATTCCCGTTTTCTCCGGTTTCCGTAGAATTTTCAGGTATTTTTTCTGTCATAAGAACCTTCTCCTGAGAATAACAAACACAACAAAAAAAAAACAGCCAAATCGGTCTAGCCGTTCTCAAGTTATGGCGTGACAACGGGAAACGGGTTTCATTTTTATATATATATAGATATAGATATTAGATATACCTAAATTTTCAACGTATTCCACCGACCACGCTCTCACTGCATCACCTGTACTCTTGTTGCATAAAGTTAAATAAATAAATAAAATGCATCTTCATTTCCTAAACGATATTAAATTTTTAACAAGTACAAACAACTCGGGCCTTACTGGGATACATAATCTTATCAACAGAAGCCAGTGCTTGGGACACGTTGATGATGGCCTGGAACCACTTGATGACGATCGTCTTGATGCTCTCGAGGCCAGGCTCGAAGGTGATGTTATTGGTGCCAGGGTGGGCGATTACCTTCACTCGGATTATGGGGCGCTTTATAAACATGTAGTCGCGATACGGACCCTCGTAAGTGTTGCCTTCCTGGAGACGAGAGACAAAAATGAAGTCACCAAAGAATAGAAAAAGATGACAACATTATAGAAGACTATTATTATATTATTATACTAGCTTTTACCCGCGGCTTTGCTCGCGTCACAAAAGGATAGAAAGCCAATGTGACATATACCAATACACACAGCGCCATCTATACTAATACTTTTGTTTTTCCTCGGGAATATCATTTTTTTCCGGGATTAAAGTACCCTGTTATTTAATCCGGACTTCTAACTATACATCTGCAAAAAATCAAAGCAATCGGTTTAGTACTTACGGCGTTAAAGTGGAACAAACAAACAAACAAACTCACTTTCCCATTTATAATATTATAAGTAAGGATTTGGACTCTGGTATGTCCAACAAATTAGATTAGACAACAACCTTGGTTCAATAATTAATATTTTGTTAACGATCATAATCTTGACGATGTGTGACTATGACTTACCGAGTAAGAGCATAAATATTTAGCGAAGTGTGCGACACTCCTCTCCACGAGGTTTCGCATTTGGTTGGACATCAGCGCACGGATACACCTGTAATTTAATAGAGTAAAATAATGTATGTATTTATGAGTATAAAAACATGTGACAAGATAAAAAACCTCTAATATGTCAAGTCCTTTTATAGTATAATTGGGAAGTTGGGAGCAAACGAGTGGAGCCACTAGCATTTCTTTTCCATTTCTTGATAAATATTTTCTGATACTAGTATTTTATGAATTGGTAACATAGATATGCCGTGTATAAGGCAATTGAGTACTTTCCTTAATCTTCTAAAATATCAAATTAAATTTATAAAATAATCACACTTTCATTAATTGATTTTATGACCAACTTAATTTCAGTATTTTGCCAGCATTTTTTTAAGTAATAAGTATGCTGTTTGACGCTAAAAAAAACAAGTCGTCACAATACACAATCTCGTACAAAATTCATATAAAACTGTCGTATTTGACAGTTCGAAAAAAGTATTGAATTTGACTGGTTGGCAAGTACCGAATTGTACCTTTAAAAGGAGGGCATTTTGTTGTTAAAAGGACAATTTGGAAGGTTTGATAAAATAAAAAATATGCTTGTGGCTCTGTTTTTTTGCTCCCGAGTAAACCAACCTGAAAAAGCTCTCTACTCTGGAAGTAGACTCGTTCCTCTTCTTGGCGACATACCCCGACCAGTGATGCCTCATCTTGATCATAGTATCAGCGACGTCTATCAGCCAGTTCTCCTCCAGCTCAGCTCTGGTCTCCGCACAGAGCTTGTTAAGGTTCTCCGTGAACTCATTCGTGTATTGAGGGAAGGGGACCTCTGCCTGCATCTTCTCCATGTCTACTATGAACATGTTTTGGTATCTGGAAGTGTTGAAATTATATTTTTTTTATTTAAAAGTCACATATCGAGGAGGGCTCCTGAAAACGATGGCAGATACAGAGGGTTGCATCGAAAATCTGGATTACCAGATTAAATGCAGTTACATTACGACACCGGTTCACGCTGGTACTCTGTGACAGTACACCCTGGCCGGTCCACTTAACGACCCATGTATAGTTAAAGAGAAACAAAACTTTGCGCTGTCGCGCTATACTGTATCCGTGATTTTGCGCAAAACGTTGGTATTTTACAATATGTTTATGGTGAAAACAAGTTACTGTTGTTTCCAATTGAAAGGGCATTAAATCTACTTTAGACATCACGATCGAGTCCTACAATGTATGCAGTAGACAGAAGTGACCTTTCATGCCACATCCTCCGCAGCTCCAGCAGCACGGGGTTCCCGAGGCAGTACCGGTGGAACAGCGCCTCCCGCGCCTTGACGAGCGGCGTGTGCCAGGGCACGGGCGCGCGCACCACCAGCGCCGGCCACAGCGCCGGCAGGAACGGGACCTGCAGCCGCACGCGCTCCGCGCCGTCCTCCACCACGTACTGCAGGATGCATCTGGGACCGCGGTGGTAAGTATCACATGTTTATTTCGGTACAAAACTTTTTCAAAACAATTCTTCGATGAGCGTAAAGTCCAGCTAGTGCATACGTTTTATTTTTGCGTAGCATTTTTTCATACCCCCCTATTCAATATTATTTCAATATTTCTGAAGTTATAATTTGCAAGGTAAAAATTTGCAAACCAAGAAAAAAATACTATTAAAACATCTATGTGATTGCAATACGGTATCGTTAAAATAATTTTATATTCGATATTACTAGTTACTAACTACTTTTTGTTAACACTATGCTATCAGATGAAAAAAGATAGGTACAGTCAAAGGTCAAAAGTCCACTGCCACCGTGAGTGATGTTCATACGGTAATGCGTAATTAATTTCATATTAATGTGCATATAAACGTGTGCGTACGCATAAACACACGCACGCGTACGCACACGGATAAAAATATGCGTGTGTGTGGGTATAACCGATAGTAGTCTTACGGTGGACTTTTGACCTTTGACCGTACATCACTATCAAACTAATACAATATAACCACAAACCTTTTCATAGCCATAACAAAGAACTCCCGTATCTCGGCCTCGCTCTGACGGACATTGGCCTGCCAGGTGAGGATGAGCATGCGTCGCTTGATGCCGGCCGTCTGCTTGTCGACGGCCGCCTTGGCGCGCTTGTACAGCTCCACCGGGTAGTCGGGGAGCTGCTTGCCTGATAGCGACTGGACAAATACATTTCTTATATAGTTGTGTGAAGCATACTGACTGGTGCTGAAAATAAGCGCCGTGGACTTGAATCTTCGTCTCCGGGACACCTGCATTTTTCGATATGTCGCACCATAGACTTTATTTTATTGTGTACCTACGATGCGGCCTACGATGGAGTACGTCTGCCATTATGTGCACTTCACTTAGCTTACCTGACTGAGATAGAAGTCTATTCTCTCGAGTGCGTCAGGCGAGATATACCGGTAGTGTTCCTCCTCAGTGATTGCCAGCATCTCCTCCTTCTGCTGGTCCGGGTCTCTTGGCAGCTCGAACTCCAAACGTGCTAGACGTCTATAGAAAATAATCACAATTTAGGAGGTATCTATGGAAGTTACCTATTTTTTTTTATGGGATAAGCCGGTAAACTATGTGACGGATCGCCTGATGATAAGTAATCGGTGTCGCCTATACCTCGACACATGAGGCGTTACAAGTGCGTTGCCGGCCTTTTGGGATTAGGAATTTGAGGATTGTTGGGAATTCAGGGATTGGGGAAGGGAGGCGTAGGGGGGGGGAGATAATTGGGCCTCTGGTAACCTCAATCATACGACAAAACACAATGTAAGCGTTATTTCATGTCGGTCGTCTATGAGGCCGTGGTATCACTCCGGTCGAGCCGGCCCATTCGTGCTGAAGCATGGCTCTCCCACACTTATTGTATTTTGGCCCTTAAATAACATAACTAACGAAAAGTACAAACATTATTGAACGGTCGTAATATCATTAAATATTCTCTCTATCAGATGATTTTATAAATGTTATAAATAAATTTTGTAACGTTTTAAATTGCTTCGCCTTAACAGAGTATGTACTGAATTAGTGGTATGTAATACTTCTTATTATATGTACATTGTGCAATATGAATCCTTACTATATATAATATTATAAATCTGAAAGTGAGTTTGTTTGTTCCACCTTCACGCCGTAACTACTCAACCGATTGCTTTGAATTTTTGCAGACGTAAAGTTAGAAGTCCGGATTAAATAATAGGGTACTTTTTAACCCCGGAAAACCGAGGAAAAACAAAAGTATTGGTATAGATGGCGCAGTGTGTATTGGTATATGTCACATACTTTTTATTCTTTTGTGACGCGAGCGAAGCCGCGGGTAAAAGCTAGTAAATAAATAAATACAGATGTTTACCTCTTGAACTCCTCCTGTGCTGCTATCTCTGCTGCTTCCTTGGCGAGCTTCCGCTTCTCCGCTCGTTTCCGCTTCGCCTCGACTTCTGCAGCCTTCTTCCTGTCATACTCGCCAGATACCAGGTCTTCTAGTCTTACTAAACCTGCAAAAGCCAATCACATGTAGTATAAATAGGTGTTACTAGAATTATATTTTTAATATCTAAATGATCGTGCAATTGCAATAGGGTAGATGACTAATTTTTATTTTAATATATAGATTATTTTAAATCACTAGACACGTATGTTTTTTTCCGAAACGAATACTTTCGACGATATATTGATTTGAAATGTAGCGTGACATGACTTCTATGTACATTTTATACATAGAAATGACGTTTTAGCCCCTACTCCTAAACTTTGATTCGTTTTATCTAATTATTGTTTTATTACACGACAAAATAAAAAAATACGTGTCTAATATTAATTCATTACCTAACTTACGGACTAATTAGATTTTTAATTTTCATACCCTCTCATCATCCCAATTATGAGATTGTTAAAACCAATTATCAGATCGGTTTAAAAGTAGTTATTGAACTTATTATTGTAACTGTAACATCTGGGAAATAATTAAGAAAGCTGGTATTAGGAGAACTTAAACTAGTTAGCACAAAAACTTTTATAAATTAATGTCTTCGTACATTGTACTAAAACTGTGCTATTGATTGTCAAAATGTTACAAAATCATACAAACCTTTCTGTAGAGTAGTCTTCTTCTTCTCTGCTTCCATCTGCTTCTGCTGCTTCTCCTTCTCCCTCTCTGCTAAACTCTTGAGAGGAGGGAACTGCATCTCCCCGTTAGGTCCGAGAGGGCCGTAGCGGGCTACAGGAGGCTTCCTCTTCGGGGGCATGTTGATTAAGCGAATCGTTTTTGTGGTAGCCGTGTAGCAGTTACCTAGGGATGGAGAAACATGGTGAATGGGGGATATTATTTACGGCAGTAAATACATAATACAGCCCAGCACAAACACACAAACACCAACACACACTATTATGTATCATACTGCATGTTATATATTATTTATTTTTAGTGATATTAGTATTCTTGTAATTATACATATTAATGTATAGTATTTTATACAGTTATTAATTTATTGTACACTTGACCCATATCAGACTCCTGTTGCTGCTCCATCCAAAGGTTGTCTGTAAGAAATCATCTTGTGCGATAAGACCGCCCATTGTACACTATTTTTGTTAGGTAATATTGTCCTGTATTACGATTGTGTGGTGTACAATAAAGCGTATATTAATATTATTATTTATTATAATACAGGTATATTAAACTATTTTTTACTCTTTTTAATCTTATTCTTTTATATAAAGCTGAAGAGTGAGTGTTGAGACTACGCCGTTTAGCAACTATTAGATAACTAGCTACTGCCGCGCGGTTTCACCCGCTCTGCTCGGCGCTTATTCATCGTAGCGTAATGTTTTATAGCCTACAGTCTTCCTCGATAAATGGACTATCCAACACAAAAAGAATTATTTAAATCAGACTAGTAGTTCCTGAGATAAGTGCGTTCAAACAAACAAACAAACAAATTCTTCAGCTTTATAATAATACCTTGGTAGTATAAGATAAATATAAGATAACTTGCATTTCAAATATTCTGATGAAATGTTATGTGGCCTCAGTCTCGGTACAATAATATTAAGTACATAGAACTGATAACATAATTGGTGAAAAGTATTGCCATTGCCTTTCTAAAATTATTTAGACACCACTGACAAACGGTGAAGGAAAAACATCGTGAGGAAACCTGGGCTTATAATTTCTAATTATAAGTTTGAAATCGCCAACCCGCATTGAGCAAGCGTGGTGATTAATGCTCTAACCTTCTCCGTGTGAGAAGAGGCTTTGCTCAGCAGTGGGCATTTATAGGCTGTTGATGATGATGATGATGATTGCCATTGCCAACCCCTTCAGAGAATTAAAGGTGTAGTAGTATAGTTACCAATAGTATCCGCGGGTCTGCCATGTATATAACTGTCCCGGAATGGCACGCCCTTCGTCCAGGACTTGGTCTGCATCAGCGGCAGGAACTTACTGCAGCGGCCATCTCCTTCACCTGACAAACCAATACAACATTTGGTTTTATACTTTAGACACATACTTACCTATCTTTTTTATATATAATTCTTCTGTGAGTGTGTATATCACTGAACTTCTCTAAAACAACTGGACTGATTTTGATGAAATTTTTTGTGTGTGTTCTGGGAATAGTTTAGATTCACAAATCAACCCGGCAGATGGCGCTGTAGTATGTTTAGGTTATTTATCATAAACGGCTGAACTATTTTGAATGAATTTTTGTTTATACATTCAAGTGGATATGCAGGACAACGTCTGTTGGGTCCGCTAGTCTTTATATATATAATTCTTCTGTGAGTGTGTATGTCACTGAACTTCTCTCAAACGACTGGACCGATGTTGATGAAATATTTTGTGTATGTTCAAAGGGAATGGTTTAGATTCACAAATCAGTCCGGCAGATGGCGCTGCAGTCGAAGTTTAGGTTATTTATCCTAAGCAGCTGAACTAATTTGAATGAATTTTTGTTTATACATTCAAGTGGATATGCAGGACAACGTCTGTCGGGTCCGCTAGTAACACTAATAAAAATGAATGTCCGTTCGTTAGTCTCGCTAAAACTCGAGAACAGCTGAACCGATTTGGCTCATTTTGATCTTGAACTGTTTGTGGAGATCCAGGGAACGTTTAAAAGGCGAGAACAAAATGTTTGAGGCTATACGATGTTTTTCTTTTTATAAAATTGCTTCATGCTTATATGCACACAAATATGTGGACTAAATGAGATTTTTATAGAACCAATCACTCACACCTAAAATAAATACACCAGCACATCAAGCTACCCGAAAGTGAGAAATAGATTTTCAACCTTATCATATTGAAATAAGGATGCTAATGTCCTAAGCTACCTACGTTAAGCTATTTAATCTGTTTTTTTTGTAGCACATTTTAATTCTTTGAACGTATTTTAAACTTGCATTGCTGTTAATGTAATAAGTATTTATTCACTGTATATAATGATATTTTTTTATTCAAATCTACTGTTGTACACTGTTAGTAAAGTATCTTCTTAAATATACCTTTCCTAATCATTCATAATAACATGAATACTTGTGAATTAATAATTTCTCTAACTAAAATAATACTTAAAAGTTAAAACTTGTTTTTAACAAGTCTTTCATTGCTTTTGAGCATATTATTATCTCCCAGCGATGGCGCTTGCAAAGCTTTTATTACCCACTGTTAGTTCCTTTTAACATGGATAGATGTCACTGTGCGATGACGTCACGTTTGTGAATCGCGGTGTTAAGATTCTCCGGCGTTTGGTTAGGTCCCTCGGCCGCTCGACGTACGGCAACTCTGGTTTCCCTTCAAAACGCATAAATCTTTCGCCTTTTACTAAAGATTTCCGTGGAGGGGAACACTCAAATGAGTCTAAAGCTATTTTTTGACGACTTCGCTTCGGCGGAGTTTATTATTACGTTTAAATCGTTTGAACTAAAGGCTATAATAAACCGGAAAGGTTGGGTAGGCTGCTGGGAGAGCGATGGGCCCGGGCACCGTCACTTTCCCAACACTCACATAATGTACATAAACCTTATATTTACTCACAACTAGCGATCCGCATTGGCGGCGGAGTTTTGAATGACAATCCACGAAACTGTTATATTAATTTGGTATTATTTATGTTAATAGGCAAACGCTCCGATAACAAGCTGCGTTAATCTCCCAACAGTCACAACACTAAGATCGACAGGGTTCCAATCTTCTATACAATAATATTCGAAAACCTAGACACGGGCTTCCGTATGAAATAAGACATAATTATGGTACCTACAATAAATACAGCTTAGTGCACATCATCAAAATCGATGCGCCAAATTATTGTTGTTGCTAATATAAGTAGACCGTGAAATTTTCGTTTTCGTCCCGAAGTATAATGGTTCTGTCACGTAATACAATAGTTTGACAAAGAAATAAAATGTTTAAAACAAAAAATAACTGGTGAACCATTGCAAAAAGTAAACTTCGAAAGTGCATACGAACTCTATGTATGTACATAATTAAAACATCACGACATCTCAGCGGGTGGCACGTGTGATGCGAATAGTGCCTACAAAAAATCTAGCGTCTCATATGCAAAGTCAATGATTTTTTTACTAAAAAAACTTCTTTAATTTTTGTTTTTACTTTATACATCGAAAGTACTCCTTATGGCAATTTGTTGTGCCGCGGGAATGATTAAATTTATTAATATTTATATTTGCATTTCAACAGTGTACAATAGTAACAACTACATTAAGTTCACAAAAAGTTATTGTTTTAATAACTTGGATAACTTACAATCATTGATTTTCTATACATTTTTTTTAAAGTCAATCTGGAATCCACCACTACCCAGTGACAGTGATGGTCATGTGGTTCAGTATGAATCATGGACATAAAAATATTAAGCTTGAGTAATGTATGCATAGTTTTCGACTACACAGTAATTTTTATGCAATTCGATTGTTGTTAATACCTAATATTATATGACAATAATTAAAATAAAAGACCGATCCCTACTAAAATTTTGATAGCAATATAACACGTTCAGTAGTTTAGTAATTGTTAATTTGTGAATATTATCTTGATGTTAGTTTATTTTTAGTTTGTCTTTTGTTGATAACAGTAATAAATATAAAAAATTAAGCGTAAAGAAGGTTTTAGCATATACGGACTTAGCCTTCACCTACTAAACGGTTTGAACTTGTTAACAATTTGATAAAAGATTTAGGTTATAGGTATTACACTAAGTGACCACAGATACATTTTTATTCTGCTAAACACAGAATTATTTTCAGTCAGATAGTACGTACTATATACATCTACAATGCGTATTTACCCTTTAACTATAATTATTAATTATGTCATTAAGGCATGTGGGCACCATAGGATCTTATACAACTATCGCTAAACTCGATAGATGGCGTTGTACAATTACGTGAAATATCTAAATCGCGGTGTTAAAATTCTCCGCCGTTTGGTTAGGTCCCTCGGCCGCTCGACTTACGGTAACTCTGGTTTCCCTTCAAAACGCATAAATCTTTCGCCTTTTACTAAAGATTTCCGTGGAGGGGAACACTCAAATGGGTCTAAAGATATTTTTTGACAACTTCGCTTCGGCGGAGTTTATAAATACTCAAAAACAAAAAAGAATCAGCACTCCGAATTCCATGCCAATCAACCATAGATTTATTTAACAATCAACCCATAGAATAGAAACTTTATGCTGGTTTATTAGCTAGGATTTTAACATCTTATTAATATCAAAAGATACTAATATCAACCTTTTGCTAATCCAAATAAAGAATAATATCGACTGACCTTCAGGGTACATATTCATAACAGCTTTAACGAGGTCACTGTCCTGGCCCACCTCATGGTCGTAGCCGGCTCGAGGCACCCACGGCAGGGTCCGGCCGCCGACGTCCGGTGGCACGAACCGGGACGGACACGGCTTCCCTTCCGGTTGGGGCTCACGGCGCTTTTTCTTACGACTACTCTCGCCGCTCGCCATTATAAACTAAAAAAATCAGAAAGTATGGGTAAGTGATAGTTGCTATAATATATGAATATTAAAGATAAAGTATGTTTTTATAAATATAAAACAAAGCTAACCAGTGTATATTATTAAAGTGCATAAATATAATAATTATATGTAACATATTGTTTGATGAGGTACCTGTTTGTGACCCGTAAAACTATTTAAATGCATTAAATGTAAACCTGTTATAGTAACAACTTAAGGCAGGATACCGGTACATTAAAAAAAAAAACAAAAACAACCTAATTTTTGCTCCGTCGTCGCAGTCGGGTAATAAATATCACGAGAAATTTACAAGTATACATTGTATATTATAATTATTCGCACCGCATATCTTTCGCGGAAGTTTCCTCTAAGTTGTTTTTAAAAGCTAAACCACTGCATTATTGTTTTATAATTAGTAGTATACATTTACCTCTAAACTAAAACACTAGTATCAACACTTTTTAACACTATAAGTACTATTTAACTAAAAATAAAATAATAAGTAAAATTTTAGATTATTGTCTTTATGAATAACGTTTCCATGGACGCGTTGCCATGGAAATGTGTCTTATTTTTTTTACAGTTTTGACACAGGCGATTGACATGATACTGTGTTTCAGCCAGCATTATCTATTTTCTTATAATAAATATTATGAAGGTTCGAGACTTCTGTGGCTGTATGACAAGGGCACGGACCTAGAGTCCGTGGAGAAATAATCTACAATATTAAAAAAAAAAAAGACTTCTGTGGCTCTAACAAATATTATGCGCTAAAATTGTGGTTCTGTAATTTCTATTCTCCATTAAATGTGAATTTTACAAAAACTTGTATTTACCGAATATGAGTACATTATAAAACAAAACAAAATTAACCTATGTATACAATATAATGACAACATGCGACGAGAAACTCCAACATGAGCGGAAGCGGACCACTACCACTTATAATGTAATCCTCCAAGCTCTTTTGGATGAAGATATATACGATATTATTATCTTATTCTAGCTAAATAAATATGACGATTTTCAAGTATTTCTGTGGCCCGATCCCGGCGGCACTGCAATGCCGGGCCGACCCGTGACGGGAGTGGAGCGAGCCCCGAACATCCCATCAGTTTACAAAAATCAGTTTAATATACTGGTCCCTCAGTGAGGGAACTTTCAGATATTAAGCTGAAAAGAACAGATACTACACTTTGATCTTAGCCAAAAGGCCGAGAAGCGATACCGGTTCTGTCGAAGCCGGCGAGGGTCATTCATTCACGAAGAATCTTAACACCGCGATTCACAAAAGTGACGTCATTGCACAGTGACATCTGTTATGCTAGGATGGAAACTTTAGTACCACGGGCGGCGTGGCGCGAAGATGGATATCGTTTAAAACTACAAAATAATTACTCTATAGGTTTGCTGATAACATGGTATTATTATCTTTTGTTATATTATTATCTATGAAATTAAAGTACAACTTCACGATAGTGTACAGTGTTGTAATGGAACGAGGTGATGAATCTACACCTTGGAATGAGCAAATAGCTTCACTTTTAATTTTTTTGATGACGTTCAAAAGTGCCTCTCTGGTCTAATTAAAATAAATGATTTTGACTTGACTTGACTTGACTTGAATACCAACCATAATGATAGGTAAGCTATACCCAGGAGTTTTATAAAATAAGCTTTTAATTGCCGGTAGAACATATTTTACATATCTCACGTTGTTTTAATAATGGTATTAAATCGTTTTCGACCTGACTAGGGTAAGGGGCGTTCCACTGAGCAAAACTCTCCGTCGAGACACAGAAATAAATAAGCAGGGATATTTGGTTCGAATAAATAAACGGTTTTAGATAATATATTTTATTTCATTCATCACATAGATTATCGTACAAATAATTATATTAAAATAAAGTATAAATGCATTATAAAAATCTCTTAACAGTATTTATAAATTGACATGGTTTGACAACACTCGTATTTGAGCGATTGAGAGCAAATTCAGAGTATAAAATACAAGTTCATAATAAAATAATACTGTCATATTTTCATTTTTCGATCAATCTCTTTGTATTCTTCATTATTATGTACATATATTATATTATGGTTCAATACTTTAAGTTCTACATACAGACTTGTGACTGAAAATTTTAAAAAACATAATAGATAGTTAAGAATCCTTTTCCGATCGGATACTGATGATAGAAAAAATATTATGAGCCCGAAATACTAAAAAATAAGCTTTGTTCATTTAACATTACTTTAATTTCTTGATAGGTATATATTTTATTGTTTATACTATTCATATCAAATTCATACTAAGTTATAAATGGTAACCTGGCTTCGCTCGAGTGCTATTCCCGGATTTTGCCGGATGGTTTATCTATATATATATTAACTAGTATTGGCTATTGCCAATACTATTATACTATTGTATCCATCCATTTCCGTACAGTAATTCAAGACTTATGTTAGTATAAAAATATAATAAATCGTTTGACCACCAGGCGAGATACTGGTCAAACGTCGGCCCATCAAATATATTTAAAAAAGTATATAAATTTTGAAGATTAAAATTGTATACCTATTTTAGATCGGATAGGATTTTTAACATAAATATAGTTTCATATAAGGAAGATATATACAAGTTTAAGTATTAGATAAAGATTAATTTGCACAAACTTTGAGCAGAGTATCAAGATGTTTCTTAAGACTTATATCTCACAAGGAAAATACAGTATAATGTGTACATTTATCTACTTACAGAAAAAAAAGAAAAGTATTAAAATAATACATTATAATCTCTGGCTTGGGTTTGTATAGGAACTTGAAAATAAAAATCTACTAAAATGCAAGCACATTTTGCGTTTTATATGCTATGTGGTCTATCAACGGAGTTCTACCAGAGTGGCAAGACAGGCAAAATTCTAGGAATCCCCGATTACAAATAGACCAACTGCCTGAGTATTCTTACAAAACAAAAACACTTTTTCAATCCGATAGACCTATTAAACGCATTTTGTGTCTAACACAGATATAAAAATATTGAAACGCCTATAGGTAGAATGTAATTGCCACATATTTTGTTAAAAGAGTAACAATTGCAGTTTCTTGCTCGTTCTTCTCCATTCGAATTTATATTTTGGAATGAAATGACTATTATTTATTTTATATTTGTTGACGTTTCAAAAGTACCAAATTATGGTGTATTGAAATAAATGCTTTGGCTTTAACTTTGAGATGGTTTTAAAACGAAAAGCCATGCTGATTTGCTCTGCTGGTGCTACATTTTTCTCTGCACTACCTAAAGGTTCACTAGACATAATACCTAGGGCATTAAGTCCGCCTGTACAGAATGTTTATATTAATTAGAATTAAGTTAAATAAATAAAATAAAACAGTATGTACCGAATAGACAATACAAAAAACGACAGAATCTATTTGGCTTTATTGAAACAAATTAATGTATTTAACTCGTCGAGTACCGTGTATAGAGGTAATCTATAGACACAATTAAAGAACAATAGGTTGCGGTCACCGATGACCGCTTGGTGTTCGACAGTTTAATTTATATAAAACTTCATACATACACAAAATGGAAGCACGAACGTTTAAGTAATTCTACATGCAGATCGTTTACGTAGATTCTCATTTTTATAAAATTTGGCACAGAGTTAGGACCCTGGACACTATATTAGAAATTTTTAAATAGTCGCGACCTTTTTTGAGGGCGGAAAATGATTCAATGACTTCACTGGGTTAGGCGCGAGGGAGTGTCAGACTCTTTACTGACTAAAAACCACCCCGTTCCTACTCCTACTCTTCGAGCCGGAACCCCGGTAACCCGTTAGGCTTTCCGCGGCACAGTCGCGACCATGACTGCATGGAAGCATAAGTAATAAATATTAGACATTACATAATTATGATTTTAAAACACGATATAAATGAGCTATATATACTTCATACAATCTTACTACGCCTATAAGTAGGCATATCCATTATTGCAAAATATTTTCTGTATCACAACCGTCTAGTTTTGGAATTTTTATAAAATAAGTTTATAGGTTCCAAATTCTATGAGGCGGATCGCAAGAGATTAAAAAGCTCTTAAATACGATAAACGCTAACCGGACTGTACCTACTAGGTTTACTTGTTAATCACGGGACTGAAATCAGTATAAGTTGTTGAAGTATTTTAATTACAAATACCTATATGGTTATATCTTGAGATACTCCTACTGATTGTTCTTCGTCTTCGCAAAACTAATATTTTGGACTTTAACATTTCATTAGAATCCTCGGTAGCATCATAATAATTCATCACTATGCTTTAAAAAATAATTATAATTATACATCAAATGTTTGTTTCAGATATTACAATGAAACATAAATTGTTAACTAAACTCGCGGGTTACTCACTATTCACTATACTGAGAAAAGCTCGACTAGTTTCAAACCACAGAGGGGTTCTTCCTCATGAGCAGCGAGAGAGTAGGCTGCGCGACATCGCAGGTGAGTAACCCGCGATTGTTAGTTAAATTAGTACGTCTCACGATAGTTATTATAAAAACAAACACAAGAAGACCATTAATTACTTAACTTTAAATATGTTATAATACATTTCAATATATCAGGATTTGTTACACATATAATTCTTCATATTTAACATTCACCAGATTCTATTTCACATCTGACTTCTATTACTTTATCCTGAATCCTTCACAACTTTAAGACATAATCCTTACGTACGATACAGCACCATAGCACCACCCAGGACTATATAAAAGCACTCTTAAGGCCACTGCCTATCCCCTTCAGTCTTATTCAAGTAATTATTGGACCCTTGCCAACTGAACGAACTGTCCGTATCACCGTCTTCAGATTTCTTCTCATTATATTGCGAAGCCCTATTTTCTTTGGCAAAGGACCGAGGTCTACCTTCGATCAAGGAGTGGCTGAGTCTGGAAGCATCGAAATTAAACCCTGAGTTCGAAGGTTTTCGCACTTCTCTGAGGTATTTCCATGTGTGACTATCTGGACCCTCGTCCGTTGGTTTTGGACTGTACAGCCATTCTGTAATAGTAGAATTAAAGTTTTAATATTGTGTACAAAATTGAATGAAATAGATGGGAATATTGTAAAATTGATTTTTATTCTTTTTTATTATACCTGAGTACCTGCCAATATACCTGAGTAACACAGCCTCATTTAACAAACCACATTTACCTCTATAATAAGTATAAAAGTGTAAATGAAGAATTGTATTGTGAAACTGATTGGAAAAGAGTAACCTATGGAGTTTCTTGCTCGATCTTCTCCATAGGAATCTACACCTTGGAATGAGCAAATAGTTTCACTTTTAAATTTCTATTGCTGACGTTCAAAAGTGCCTTCCTGGACTAATTGAAATAAATGATTTTGACTTTTTTGCCTTTTCGTTTTTGAATGAATCGCTGAATGTGTTGCTCAGCGTAAATCTCGAATTTTAAGGCAAAATAAATTTTACAGGTCGCTAACTTTTTTATACATAATTATGTAAGTCTTTTTTCGAATAAAAATCAATTTTCAAATTGCATTATTGGTGCATGTTGGGAATGTATAAAAAACTAGTACAAAAAAGCTTTATCTAGGTCTATATCTAATTAATCTACTTATCTACAAAACTACTTATCTAATAACTAAAGAGCAAAACGTAAAAAATATGTTTGTTCTGATGAAAATAGTAATGATGATTAAACTTGCAGTGTAACAGCATTTACTTATTTCAAAATAAACGTAAAGTATAACACATAGAATGAATGAATAAAAAACAAAAAAAAAAACGAACAAAACAGCTTATGAACATAATTTAAGTGGGCACTAAATAACAATTTCTTTAAATACATGAGTAAAACATTGATTGTATATCAGGACTGCATTTCTGAAAGTCTAGAGTTCTGTCTGTACCATATTAAATGTATGGTAATAAAATAATATTACAGCTGACGTCGACGCATACTAATTTCAAAAGAATCTATTTATAGGAATTGTTTTTTTTTTGTATCGGCAGTTCGGAATCATTATATTTGACTGCAAGGCTGGTGCGGTGGCTGGGTAATTAGCTACTGCGCAACGTGTCGTGGGTTCGATTCTCGCACGGAACAACTCAACAATAATCTATGGATCACACCATAGATTATTGTTCCGGGTTTGGGTGTCATGTATAGAACTTGTATGTTTGTAAATGCAAACACGACATGGAAGCGAATACTAGTGTAGGACACCGCTTTAAAAAAAAGAAATAAAACATATTTGGTGGTTTTAACGAGTCTGGAACGTAATATAGAATCACGTTTGTACGACACTAACTGGATTTCTAGATGCAGAAAGTATTAACTACTTTTTTCGTAAGTAAACTGAACGGTGGCAGTTGTGCAATAAAATGATGACATTGTGTTAGGTCTGAAGACTCGGTATCGACATGGACTCGAGTGTAAAGGACAGTGCGTACCCCCGTTGGAGACGTTGTGTATGGCAGTGAGCAGGAAGTCCTTGTCGCGCGCCTGCAGCAGCAGCAGGTGCCGCAGCAGGCGCACGGTGGCGCGCTGTATCGACATGGACTCGAGTGTAAAGGACAGTGCGTACCCCCGTTGGAGACGTTGTGTATGGCAGTGAGCAGGAAGTCCTTGTCGCGCGCCTGCAGCAGCAGCAGGTGCCGCAGCAGGCGCACGGTGGCGCGCTGCGCCCGCGCCCGCGCTCGCACGTAGTACACGCAGACACTGCGGGGGACAATGATACATTATTTATCTCTAATACGTATTCATATTTTCTCCATTTCTTAATCATTAACTCAATATAAACGTAAGTAATGGAAAAATATAACAAAAATGTACTACTAAATTGTATGTAGGAATGCAAAAATGTTTGTTATAATAGTTACTCCATTCAAAATTCATTTACAAATAGTGAGATTCTTATGCCTTAAGTCACGGAATATAGAATACAATGGAAGTAGCAAGTAGGCGTGGCACGCGTGCCACAACTAAGCAGTGTACTGCTTACTCAAGGCAAATTCGAGTTCAGTCTCATTCGAACATCGCGTCGAGTTGCTAGTCCCGTGACAAATACATATTTCCGCAACTATGCCGTTTTGTTCCGTTTTGGCGTGTAAAAATGATAGCAACCGAAAAATCATAAAAATGGAGGTGTTTCGTATCAGCGGTAAGTACAATTTTCATTGTTTTCTTGTAGAAATCTTATTTTATTTCAATTTACAAAAACGGCTATTAAAATAATATTATTTACTAAAACGGTTAGTCAAAATCAACCTTACGCCTTCAAGATATTTTGGATTTATTCCATTCAATTTAACATTCTCGCCAGTTCTACGCTACTCAAATAGTGATGTGGTCAAATCACATATTGAATTTATCGATTGATATCGATGCAAGTGTAATGTAACATTTATTTAGATTATTTTTTTATTATTATTTTAGTGGTGACCCCGACGTGATTGGAAGCAACCTTCACTTCACGGAGCAGATTAGCACCGTTATCCTTATCTCCATCCCTCTCATTTATCACATTATCCATATAAAGTTTGTAGAAATTTATTTAATAGTTGTTACTTATATTGCCTATGTGAAATAAAAAAAATGATTTTTTGAAAAAAGAAACTAATAAAAAATACGAACAAAATGGTTTTTGATTTACATGCAAATAAATACTTACCCTTTTTTGTTACGTTTAAAAAGTTATCAACGACATGTTAATTTTATTATTTTTATACTGTCACACTATCGCAGTCAATTTTTTTTTCACATTATTTTTAAAACACCTTTTCATATTATCGATATTATTTTTATCGAATTAGGCTACATCACTATCTGAGTAGAGACCCGAATTGGAGCCAGTCATAAGCCATTCAAATATCACCTTTATTCTTACGACGTTAAAGTTCAAACCAAGTACCATTTTTCGTCGCTAGATGGCATTGTTAAACGCCATCTAGCGACGAATGGCGGTACTTGGTAGTCCAAAATATACTTTTTTATTTTGATTTATAGTGCATTGGTTTTAAAGTTGCATATCGTATGATATTTTTTTTGCATTTCGTTTACACCCATTTTTTTTCTAACCAATCGTAACTGCCGATTTATAGTATGAGTAAATTATAAATGTATTAGTTCGGCGACACCGGTTCTGGCAGAAATATTGTTTCAAGCTACTTCCATTGTATTCTATATTCCGTGACTTAAGTATTTTATTCATTTATTGGACTACACAAATATCTCGTTTTTTGACACAACGGCATGTCACAAGTAACCAACATTTTGGAAATAGCATTACACAGAGATCAAAAATCAAAACTGGTAATAAAGTATCAAATAGCCGAGTGATCCCAAGTACGACTGGTGGTTATCGGGCTCGATTCCCGGATCGGGCAAAGTATTTCTAGGTTTTTAAAAAATTCTCAGTAGTAGCACGGAGTCTGTATCCGGAATATAGCAATATTCTACCCTTCTATTACATGGGACTCATTACATAAATAATAAAAAGAGGGTGTTACATAAACCTTTGCCTACTCGGGGTTAAAAAACGTGATGTTATGTTATGTACTATATAATAAAAATGACATTACTATAACACTCAATAACAATATTTCATCTAAGCATCATACCACAGGAACAGCATAAGGAACCCGATAACTCCAGGTCGCACCATGAAGTAGAGCGCGGCCGCCAGCCCGGGCCGCGCGCCCAGCTGGAGGATGTCCTCTGTCAGGATCTGGTACACGTAGGAGTAGCCAGTGAACGGACCGCACGACGTCGAGGATGTCCTGGAATTGTTCAAATAACTCTTAATTATATACCTACTAGGAATAAATAGTTACAAAATGTAAAATTAACAAACATTAATTACACAATAAAATGCAAATATTTTTCAATGGTAAATCCTCCGCTAACGTCGGTCACCGGTGACCCCATAGCGTTTAACGTGATAAACTAATTTTAAAAATCGCCATCCACCTCTTTTTTGTAACCGGTTCATGCTGACACCTACTCTTACCTGTAACACTTGTATGAAAACTGGATCAAAATAGGTTCAGCCAATTGCAACATAATTGTGGACAAAATATACATACATACTCAGAATCTCCTTTTTTTAATATCTTTTAATTTTTTTTTTTTTTCTTCTTTGGCAACTGAGTCTCCAAAACGGAGTTGTCGACTATACTGCCAGTGTCGAGTGGTGACGGCAAAATTAATGAACCGTCGAACTTAACTTTGCGGTAGTTTTTAGTGGTTAGTAGCTGAAATGACAAAACAATCGGGTTAGTAAACATAGACATTATCAACTATTTTATTGTATATATACAGTGGTGTAAAAAATAGTTGAGGGACATACACAACACAGACAGATATAAATATATGTACATCATTTACAACATTGAACACCGTCATATTTTAATTTCATTTTCATTTATAAATTTACATAAACAATTAATTAATTTGTGGGAAAAGTGGGTTAAAAGCAGGTGGAAACTGATTGGGAGAGGATTTGGATTCTGGGAAGTTTTTTATAGAGGTCAAAGGATTGGGAATTTAAGGGACACGAAAAAAAGATGTGATCTAAAGTACCCTCATCAAGGCCGCATTCGCACAGCGAGCTGTCGCGGACGCGGATCTTGCTGAGGAAGACCGGACTACTGCAATGGCCGAGTCTGAGCCTGCACAAGGATGAAACAGTATGACGGGGAAGCTTGGGGTACTTGGAAAACCAAGGCTTCCGTCGGATGCCGGGCTGGACAGCTGCATAGTAGGCTCCTTTGTGTTGTGACGTTTCTACCCACACTGCATTCCATGAGTCAAACAGCTTGTGCTTTGTGTCTGCACGCATATCATATCCGTACACAACGTGGTGCTGACGATCGACATCGTTCGAGGCCGCAAATTTGGCCAATGAATCCGCACACTCGTTACCACATATGCCAGAGTGGCCAGGAATCCAAGCGATCTCGATGTTTATGCCATCCTTGTAACAAGAGAAAAGAAGCGCCTTTATCTCTACAACCAAACTGCTATGAGTTCGGGAATGGAGCTGGTCTTGGTTGAGAGACTGTAGGCTACTTCGGGAGTCTGAAAAAATAACAGAGTTTTTTAGGTTGTGTGCTCTAATAAACTTTACTGATTCTAAAATGCCAACGCATTCTCCCGTGTAGACAGATGCTTCCGGGGGACACTTAGAGAGGAGGGCGATCTTCGAATTTTGGAAGTACGCTGCCACTCCTGTACTTCCGTTTCGAGATAGTTTAGACGCATCTGTGTAAAAAATATTCCAGCCTCTCCAGTATTTGCTCAAGGCGCGTCCGAACTCGCCCGTAGCATCCACGGAGGATTTCGAGATGCCGAGCCCCAGAATCAGCTTTGGCCTGAAGTGGATAGCCTCATATGCGGAAGAGAAGACCGGGAGTACAGGATATTGCCTGATGGGTGCAGAGAGGTTTTTAAGCTCCCTGTACCTGACAATCACGGGAGGGACAGGTTTATTGTTCCAGTAGGAAGAGGAGCTATAGGAACAGTGGATTTGTTCTAGGATAGGAAGAAGGGGATGTGATGAGAGGGAGAGGACTTTTGAGATGAATCGGTCTGCAAGGTATTGTCTTCGAAGGTTGAGGGGAGGCTCTACACATTCAACCTGAAGAGCATTTATGGGGGATGATTTCATAGCTCCGATAATTATTCTAAGGCATTTGGCCTGAATGGAGTCTAGTTTTTTTAATGCACCCTTATTGCAAGGAACAATAAGGAAGCAACAATAGTCCATTACGCTTCTGACCAATGCATTGTAGATGAGCTTCAATGAGTAGGGGTGAGCACCCCACCATACCCCGGCCAGAGCTCTGAGTATCGATACCGAGCGTTCACACCTTGCAACCACGGTGTTTATGTGATCTGCCCCAGACATCCTTGCATCGAGATAAACCCCCAAGAATCTAGCACTGCTTTTGATCGGGATATCCTGACCGTCTATCTCTATACGAAGATCCGGAGTGCGTCGTTTGCGTGTAAAAATGACAGCTGAGCTTTTTGGGGCGCTTAAAGATAACCCGTGATTAAGAAGCCATTGGTTTAATGAGGCCAAAGAGACATTGATGGAGTGGGCGGCGTCTGTTATAGAGCTATTGGTAACCATTAGTGCGATATCGTCAGCATACTGAAGGACATTACAGTTGAAATTTAAACAGGAGGGGAGGTCATAGGTATAAATATTGTAAAGGATGGGACTAAGGACTGACCCCTGAGGTAAACCTTTCCAGGAGGACCTCCGTACTGGGTTATCCTCAGGAGATCTTAATTGGAGGGTACGATCGGAAAGGATGCAGGCTATAATTCGGCAGATCCTACGCGGGATTCTCAGCTCTTGCAGTTTCTGCCTGAGAAGGGGTAAGAGAACAGAATCATAGGCCGCTGAGATGTCCAAGAAGACCGCGACCAACGACTCCTGCCTGCTAAGGGCCAGTCGGATGGCTGACGTGAGGGTACCCACACTGTCAGCCGTACCCAGACCTTTCCTGAAGCCGAACTGAGTCGCCGGAAGCAGCCTCTGGCTTTCTACCAACCACTCAAGGCGGTTTTTGATAAGATGTTCAAATGTTTTAATAAGTATGGACGATAGGGCAATAGGTCTGTACGACGAATGGTCACCAGGATCCTTGCCAGCTTTTAACAGCGGCATAATAACCTGAACCTTCCAGGTAGGAGGAATATAGCCTGAAATAAAGCAAAAATTGACTAAGTCAAGGTAGTACTGCTTCGCTTTAGTTCCTGCCTTAGTTAGGAAGGAGTAGGGGAACCCATCAATCCCTGGTGCCGAGTCCTTCACATGGTTGAGTACCGTTTGGAGCTCTTCAGATGAGAACTCCAAATCGAGCGGGTCATGAGACTCGGGTCGCTCGGTCTCATGGGATCTCAGGCAGCATTCATCTGCGGTGGGAACATAGTTGGAGCAATATTGCTAAAAAAACTGTTAACCAGAGATTCGGGTAAGGTGGAGACAGTGGGAGGTTTGGTGGAGTTTCTAAAATTTTTGACTCTCTGCCAAACTGTGGATATTGTTGTCGATGGGCTCAGAGAACCACAAAATCTCCGCCACCCTTGTCTCTTTTTTTTCCTGAACAATTTCCTTGACTTAGCCAAAATTCGCTTGAAATTTATGAGGTTTTCCAGGTTCATATCTTGGTTATATGTTTTTTCAGCCTCATTCCTAGCCCTTATCATGGCAGTGCATTCACTATCCCACCATGGAGGAGAAGGTATTTTGCCTTTCGGTGCGTTTTTCACCGGAAAGCAATCTTCGGCTGTGGAGGCTATCAGGTCTGAAAATTTGGAGAAACACTCCAAAGAATTTTCGTTGTTAATTGGTGGAAGGAAAGAAGTGCGGTGGTCTAATAATTTTGAGTAAAGATCCCAGTCTGCAGAATCTAAACGATATTTTAATAAGGGGGGAAGGGGTTTATCCGGAATGGATTTTGACGAGTGTTTAATTAAGATGGGATAGTGGTCACTACCATAGGTCAAATTTAAACAACTCCAATTTAGCACGCTAGCCATATCAGGCGAGCAGAAGGTCAAGTCCACACAGCTGTTTCTTTGACCAAAAGCAGACCTACGAGTAGGGCTGCCATCATTAATGACACACAACTCGAGTTCATCCAGCATCTCAACTAGCTCATTACCCATATTATCACATACATCTGAACCCCATCTATAGTGGTGGCAGTTGAAGTCACCCATTACAAGTAATGGGCCACTTACCGAGGTTAATAAATTTTTAATCAAAATAAGCTGGTCAACATGAGGGTGAGCAATGTAAAATACAAATATGTTTATGTCCTCAGCCTTAACAGCGACAACATTTATGTCATCGCCAACGAAGGGTAGAGGAATCTGGGAGAAGGGTACTTTGTTATTAACTAACAAAGCACAACCTCCATAACCATCAGATCTGTCATGTCTGACAACACTGAAACACGGGATCCCGAAATTTATATTCGGTCGAAGCCATGTCTCAGCAATGCCACAAATCAATGGTTTAAATTTATTGATCAAGTGGAGTAAGTCACTCTTCCTGGGAAGAGTACTCCTCACGTTCCACTGAAGCAGTGTTAGAGGCAGGAATTTTGCAAATATAATCAAGAATTGTTGAAAGCTTGTGTGCTACGTGGTCAGGTACGGTATGGGCAGGGTTTGATAGTACTGCCATGAGCATATCAGAAACTATGTTCAAAATGTTTTCGGAGCTACGAGTGTTGGTTCCGGATTCCACAGGGAAAGCGCAACCACTTTTAGATGGGGAGAACGAGTAGTTATGTATAAGGGCCTGATGAGCCTTCTTATCATAACTAGGAGAGGAGCATGTGATTTGGGTTTTAGTTGGATAGTTTTTTTTGTAGGAGACTCTTTGTTGGGATGATTTTTTAATAGGTGATGGATCTACGAGGTTGACTGATCTTGAGACCTCAGCATATGACCTTTTTACAGTAGGGAAAACTTGGCTTGCTTCCGCATATGAAATAGATTTTTCTGCCATCAAAGCTTTGATGCTCTTCTGGCGACCCAATTCAGGACAAGCTTTGTCATTTGCAAAGTGGTTGCCATTGCAATTTATACATGTGGCAATCTCAGCTGAAATCTGGCATCCATCACCTGGATGATCCTGGCCACATCTGAAACAACGTGGCTTGGAGCGGCAAAGAGTGCGGGTATGTCCGAAACGACAACAGTGATAACACTGTATGGTCGGATATGAATATAGTTCTACCGGGAGTGCTGAGTA